GTGTGTGTCTGTGTGAGGCTTACACAAATCTAATGAAATAACACATTGCTTTACCAGATGTGAATGAGGAATACAAATAGCCGTGCGTAATTACGCAGCGCAGAGCCTGCCACAGCAATAGATGGGTCACACATCCCTGTTGCGTAAAGTGTATAGAGCCTTTCACTGTCCAGGATCACAAAGCGCTTCACATTTTAAAAACATACAGATCAAAATAATACACACACAAGTCAGATTTAATAGAGGGTCCTCATCATGAGCTGTGATTTATTCGAAGTTTGCGTGTTTCCATTAGACTTTTTCTGATGCGCAAATTCAAATTTTGAAACATGATCCTCAATGAAAACACAGCTTATAATTTTGCCAGAGGGAATATGTTTATTGTTGTACATATCTTGAATTTCATGCGTGTTGTGCCGAAGGTTGAGTTCAGCGTATAGATTTACAACACCTCCAGACCTGGCGTTCATTTTTTGCGTATTGTAAGCTCACGTCCAGATAGATAAATGCGGAAAAGTGTAATATTTTGCGTACGCCTCATTTACCCTGATTTGGCCGTACGCAGGTTTCATACATGAGGCCCACAGTGAGGCCCACAGTGAGGCCCACAGTGAGGCCTACAGTGAGGCCTACAGTGAGGCCCACAGTGTGTCTCACACAGGCCTAGAGTTTACCTCATCAGTGCGAGCCTGGCCTGACCGCGCTCTCCTCCTCTGGGACCTACGGGCCCGGGCCTCTGGCTCCTCTACCACAAAGTTCACGCTGAACTTTCTTAAAATTAAAATGAAAAAGGCTGCTCTGTTGTGAATGCTTTGAGAGCGTTGTCAATCTTTAAGACGAGGAATAGCTGGTTGTTCTCGCTTCACGCTGTGTGATATGATATTGGACAAAATTGTTCAGCCAATAAACAGGATTTGAAGCAACTTAGGAACGTGATGACGCTCAGGGGGTTATATTATTATTATAATTATTATTATTATTCCCCCCACTGTAGGAGCCAATACACTTTTCAATATTTTTGAATTCTGAGCGTTTCCAATTGTATTTAAAAATGGGAAACCTAATTAAACAATCATGAATTGAGCTTTTCCGATCTTATTTTACACTGATTCCTTTGATCATTTTTTTCTTAAAGTTCAAGTTGTAAAAATGCTATGTTTGAATTGGTTATTTACATTTTAACTGTGAGTGACACGTAAGGCGGGACAACAATGCACAATGACGCACGCATTCTGAATAGAATAATATGTATTAATATCTCTAAAACTAAAAGAGCATATTCAAGTTTTACAACAAAAACGACGTCATATGCGTGTCCATTATGCGTAAAAGCACAGTGCCCTCAGCAAAACCACGTATTTGGAAAAACTATAGGCTAACAGATGTAGTAGCTCTAGTTTCAATCGTCCTCATTTTATTCAGTCAGACTTGTCAAATATAGATGCCCATGGGAGAGTGAGCAAGGGGAGATAACATGCCCATAACATGCCCAAAAATATCCTGCATAGACTCAAGCTGCGATCAGCTGAAATATGAGCACACAAAGAGCGAGAGGGAAAAAGAAAAGTAAATAGGCTTAGGCTAGTTAGTATTTTTTCTCTCACAAAAGTTGGCGCGGATCATATGCCATCTTTCGTGGAGGAGGAAACATCAAAGCGCGCACGCGGGGAACAGCGGCACTAGTCTCGTTGTTGAAGTCCCGATGTTCCCCCACTTCTATTGGCGGGGGAACATCGGACCCGGGGAACATCGGGACTTTTTAATACGCGAAGTACCGATGTTCCCCGGGTCCGATGTTCCCCCGCCTATAGAAGTGGGGGAACATCGGACCCGGGGAACATCGGACCCGGGGAACATCGGTACGCACCCGTGGGAGCAGTAGTAGGAGCAACGGCGTTGTCAGAGTTAGCTTTGAGGCTAGCGGGGCCCGGGCGGAAGTTAGCCTTATACTAGAACAAAGGAGGGTAGCTAGCCATTAGCTTTCGAGCGTGGCACGTTTTAGCAGTAGTTTATATACGAAAGTCTGGAGCGAGTTATACAGTTCGCACAAGCACGTAATCACAGTGGTGGGATGGTGTTTGTCTGTATTGTGCAGTACAGTCTTGGTGTGTGTATGTACGACAGCAGAGTAGCAGGAGAAAGTGGTGAGACAGAGTTAGCGTTAGCCACCTTTAGCAGAATAATAGCATCACATTCACACAGCTGCCATTTACAGCCTTTTACACAGATATACTCGGTTAAAATCCTGTGTGACTTGGGTCACAAAGGGACACAGAGTAGATCCGTACGCCCGTGTTCTGGACACGGTGTACAGTGGAGTTATAAGAATAAGATTTTGCGCTTTCTCTTAAGAGTTTAAGCGGCTTCACATTCCACGCTGCCCGCTGGCCAAGCGGGGCGACACGTTGTAGGAGATGTGTAGTACCTGTGCAAAAGCCAGGATTTTGAGACTAAATTAATAGTCTGGTGCATGCACGGGGGCGCTATACGCTAGCGAGGGCGCGGGGGCGCTCAAATTGTTTTCGAATTCACCATAGCAACGGGGCAGGGGAGCAGAGGGGGTGCGGGAGTGGGGGGAAACGCTTTGAGCGTAGCAGCAGTGGGGTTAGCGTGTATTAACCGGTCAATTCACAGAGTACGAGTTGATAAATCAGGTTATATACGCGGATCTCACAAACAGGGCACCATTATGTAGGGTAACTACTTATATTGCTGATTATAATTACTTATTAGTATAAATTTGGTAGTGTGGGTCTGCTTTATATTTATTTTGGCACCAGCAATGTGTGGGACACACTGCACAGACCAAACCAAATCTTTGCCTCGATATCAATCTTATACTCTAAAGGTAAAGAATACGTTTTATCTGCCAGGGATAGTCCGAGATCTAACAACACGACTCTGATAGGATTGAGTTAAAGAAAGAGGTTTATTCAGGGTGCGATTTGCTGGGGGGGATGGGGGGGATTTTCCCCCCTTCTGGTTTTCTTGTCCCCGTCTCTGTTTCTTTTATCCCTATCCCTACTTCTGCTGTATTATTGTATTAAACGTAGGGGGGGATAGAATTATAAAATTGGCTGTGTGTTCAAGGTCCGTGCACCTGCTGGCCAATTTATTTCATTTTACATGAGACGCGGGTGAGAGCTGCTTTAGCGGCTTTGCTGCGCACGGGGTCTGCTGCAGAGAGTGAGGGTCTGGGGAGTCTCTCCTGTCTCCCTCGCTGCTCCTCGCTGAATGCTATCCAAAATACAGTATAGTTTTATACAGAGGAACACGTAACATAGGCCTATGCGTCTATATATAATTATCTGCCTCGGAGTAGGCTATCGGCTGGATCATTACGCATTGAACGGGGCTGTGCGCGCTTATATTCAGCCCAAAACACACAGGCATTCCTAAAAAAATATATATATATATATAACATAATCCACAATGCCACGATTGTTTGCAAAGTTCTGCTATAGATAGTCCTGGTTACAAGGCAGATCCATCCCCGCCAGAGCTGTTAAGACAAGACGCCATGAGCTCCGCTCAGCGAGTCAAATGCAGAGTCCGGGCCTATCTGTCAATCGTCAGGGCCCTACTGACACAATACATGATAAATAAATAATGACGTAATCGCGCTATTTTTTAAGTTACGTCATCACGCAATAAATAGTTACATTTCAGGGTAATAGCCTAGCATAACGGTTTACAAAATGAAGCGTGTTCAGAGCAGCATATCGTCTTTTTTTGCAGGATCCAAAAAATCGCGAAGTGATCTTGACACACAAGACGCATCACACAATAGTGTGGAGAAAAATAATCCAGTTTCGCCAACTGGAAATGACACAGATGAAGATGCTTTCCAACTCCAAGCTAGCTCCCTTCCCGATGCTCTGGTAGGCGGCTGCATTGACCAAGGACGTTTTGACAGATGGAGAATAGAAAGAAAGTGGCTTACGCTTAACGCAGACAGGGCAGTGCAATGTAAATGTTGCTCAGACATTGGACAGTTGGGTCCTCACACTAAAGAAAGACTCCACATTGACCCCGCATTTGTTAAAGGAGTAAAAACAAAGTCTGCTAAAAAACTCCATGACAAAATCAGCAAACACGCAAAGTGTCAGTCACATGTAAAATGTGTAGAAATTATTCAGAAAAGAGGTGAAATGGCCATTGAAAAGGGTGTGGACAATAATATGGCATTATGGAGGAAATGCAACGAGAAAAAATTAAAAACAACGGAATTCTGCATGCGCACTGCATATATGATATGTAAAAACGACCTGTCATTCAAGATTCAACCACAACTGGTGGAACTCCAAAAGCTTAATGGTGTTGACCTGGGGCAAATGCTGCATTCTGATAAGGCCTGTCGCAATATGCTCATATTTATTGCAGACAAAATGACAGGCAAGTTGTCAGACTTCATTAAAAAATCCACCCATAAATTTAGCATTCTCATTGATGAAAGTACAACTGCGTCAAATAAAACCTGCCTCATCATATACATTCGGATCCCCTTTGAAGATGACATTTGCAACTTCTTTTTGCAACTGGTTGAACTTCAGGCCTGTACTGGAGCAGCTATTTGTGACACTGTTCTTCAGACCCTCGAGAACCTCGGCCTCCAAAAAGACATGTTGCGCACCAGACTGATTGGATTTGCCACTGACGGGGCTGCTGCCATGATGGGCAAATACAGAGGAGCAGCAACACTACTGCGGGAGAAGATAAATCCCAACCTGACCGTGATTCATTGCATGAGCCACAAATTGGAGCTTGCTGTCCATGACGCAGTAAAACAATGTACAGACGCGAGTCATTTTCAAATATTTATTGACTCCCTCTATGCATATTTCAGCCAGAGCCCAAAACACATGCGTGAACTTGAGCTCACCGCTTCCAATTTGGGAATACAAGCACGCAGAATAGGACGGGTGTTTGACGTGCGATGGCTGTCATCTTCCTGCACATCCGTTACAGCTCTCTGGGAAAGCTATCCTGCTCTCGTTAAGATGTTTGGGACACTGGCGGAAGACGGCTCCAGACCGTCTTCAGAGAGGGCAAAATGCAGCGGGATTCATAAGAAAATGACCCAGTGGCTTTTTTTGGAGGAGATGGCATTCGTGAAAGACGCACTGGAAACCCTGCAGGCCTTATCTCTCTTTCTCCAGAGGAGAGACGCAACAGCAGTCACTGCCAACACTGAAGTGGACGTTGCTGTGAGAGCGCTTGGAGCCATGAGACAAGTGGATGGCACAAGCGCAAAACGCCTACATGGGGAATACGAGGCTTCAGAAACGTTCAAAGGAGTCAATGTGTCTCAACCAAGCGACAGAGATAAAAGAAAGGCAGAGGTCTTTCGCGAAGGTTTTTATACGTCACTCGCAGAGAACATTCAGCGCAGGCTTGATGACAATGGCATTATTTCTGCCTCTGCCGCTCTGAACCCGTCCAATTGGCCACCTGACGAGGATGAGCGTATTCTCTATGGAGACGAGAAGCTGCTCGCGATCCAAAAAAAACTTGCTGTCGACATCGGAGAAAGCAATGCCATCCTCTTAAAAGAATTCCACGAGCTCAAATGCCATGGGATCACAGGTAAAGCAACTGTCTATTCTAAGCAGTAACAACTTTTATGAAGAAACTCACTCCTCTACGTCAAATTTACATTAATTTTATTTTTATTATTTGACAGGTGCACGCATGCAGTACATCCTCACCGCTGTCTCTACGTTGCCGGTGTCAACTGCAGAATGCGAGCGCGGATTCAGCGCAATGAACCGCGCACTTACAGACGAAAGGAATAGAATGCAAATATGCACATTGAATGCTCTCCTGTTTCTTTCAATCAATGGGCCTGACATAACCTCCTTCCCTGCTCATGTGTATGCTGAGATGTGGATAAAAAATGAGGGGCGGCACGCAGCGAACGATCAACCCACAGGAAAGCCAAAAAAAAGCACCGCAAATGAATAATCAGAGCAGACTGTTTTGTTAAAACAAATAAGAACATATGTTCAAAGTTCAGGCATCCGTTAGTTCATGCGTCTTGGAGGACTCTTTCTCCAACAGGGTTTACTGTTAGTGTGTGTGACTCTAATAAGCACACCAGTTTGTTGTTTTCGAGTTTGGGCCGTAATGTCACGTTAAACACTCGTCTCGCTCCCTAATTTTCTCCGGACGCCCTGCACGCAGAGGCATCAACTTCACCCTCTGCTCGCTCCACCAGCAGCGCGCACACTCACGCTCGCGCCAAGCACACACACACACACGCACACACACACACACACACACACACACACACGCACGTGCACACACTCACACTGAGTTACTACTAGACAGAACACATCTTACAAGTTTCAAGTTCAACAGCATGAAATGTATGTGATTTTTATGCAATAAAGTGATTGAGTAACTATCCCCCCTTCTGTTTTTTTGACAAATCGCACCCTGGGTTTATTGATTACAAAATGAAGGTAAAAATATAACGAAAAGGGATTTCTGGTCACATTTAGGTAGGAGTCGTACACATTTCATTCAAATTGCACATTTAACAAGGAACAGTCTTACTTTGGAGGAGAGTAGAGGATGTGTTTGATGGAAAGAGGAGGATGGAGATGGAGATGGGGGGATGAGAGTGAAGAATAGGATGGAGGCGATGTCTCGTCCACGTGGTCTTTGTTCGAACAGGGAGCAGGAGGAAGCCGGCAGGTCGGGTCCAGGCGTGGGTTCCACACACGACACGGTCTAGAATAGCGTTGTGGTGGGGTGGTCCAAGGAGCCCGAAAGTGGCGATAGAAGGTCCTCGTCTCCGACAGCGAGAGTGGTTGCTGTCCTCGTGGATGTACAGGCCCGAGATGGTGGCGGGCGTAGGCCGTGTAGGGGACACGTACCAAACGGGATAGTTGTTATGATGAATTCGGGGGAAACAAGAGAAAGTACAATGGCTTGTGGGTGCTTATATTGACTTCCCCAGGGGAGGCGTGTCCATGCCTCCCCTCTCTGTGGACAGACCCCTTCACAACAGACATTTTGCAAAGGAAACACATCGGATTGATGCAAATGATCATAACACATGTACAAACACACACCGTATTTCATTACTTTGACATCGATACACACATGTGAGGTCCGTAACGGTTATCAATCATAATATCATCGAATAATGTCCTTTGAGTGTCCGCCTTGGGTGTGATGGCGTCCAGTACCCACTGGGGGGCGCCAGAGGGCCGCGGGTGGACCCCTTGGTCCGTGGAATGCATTGTGACAATGCTGATTCGTATCAGATTCTCTGTTGACATGAAAAAGGCCCCAGATGGGTATCCCGCTGTTTTATGGGTCCGTCTGGCGTTTGAATCCTCATGATGGATATCTGCTCCTGTGGTTGAACCCCATGGTTCCTTTGAAGTTGTATCTCTCCATTTGGTCAATGGTAAACAGAGCGGACGGCTCGGCCCTGTCCTCAGTTTAACCTTACACAACTGTAATCTGTTCCATTCAATAAAAAATATTCTTGTGTAGCCCTGAACACAGTAGTTAAAACAGAGCAAACACAAGAAATGCAATGATAAAAAAAATTGAGCTATTGGTCCATAAGGAGAAGATGTCCGATGTCCATAAATGTTGTTGTATGTCAAGAGTCCTGGATCATCACCTGTTGTTTGTGAATTGACAAATTTGTAAAGTCCCTTGGAGATGTTGTTGTGATTTAAGGCTATACACAAGTAAACTGAATTGAGTTGATGAATGACTTTGATTATAAACGTTTCAGTGAGGTTGAATGTGTCTGTGTTCAGATCCGGAGCTGCTTCTTCCCGTGGGCCTGGTCCTGGGCTCCTGCCTTCTGCTGTTCCTCCTGTGTGTGTCCATCTACAGCCTCTTCAAGGTGGACCTGGTTCTGTGGGCTCGAGGGGCCTTCTCCACACGAAAGCACAGCACAGGTACACACCGCTTCTATGTTCTCCTTCATCCCAACCCTTCTGTCCAGGCTCTCTGTATTCAAACTCAAACTCGCAACTGTATATAACAGATCTCAGAATCATGGACAGAGAACTGACAATATTGCATTTGAGATTGTGCAGATTCCTAAAACCAATAAATTACTCACTAAATGGCAGTGTTTCTTTTCATAACCATCTTTTGTTTCATTACACAGTAAAGTGGTCCCTAGTTTATTGTGGGGGTTTTGTTCTACAAACAAACCTTGAAGCAGCAGCTGTATGTTTTAAGGCTGTAAAACTCATCACACACTTTTACACTTTTCTAACCACCTGAACTCACAGCTGCTGAATTGAGAGATATCAAATCTGTTGGTTGTATGTCTGAGCGCTTCTGCAGCTGTCAAAAGCCGTGGATACACTGTAAAATACTGCAGAGGACAAAATGGAGTGAGAATAATAGCATTTTCATGCACAATATTTTACTTTAGCAAGACTCTTTTGGTTGGGAAACAACCATGTTATTTGAAAAATTATGAAAATTAGCTACCACGTCTTTAATGGAAAAAATTATATTATATGATTCAGCATAATCATATTCTCACAACGGTCACACTGATTGCTCACTGTGTAGTGACACACAAGCCGCAGTGTGTGTATGTAGACTGACGTGTGTTTGTCTGTGTGTGTGTGTGTGAGCCCTAATGTGTTTGTCTTCAGCGACTGATGGGAAGCTGTACGATGCCTACGTGGCCTACCCTCAGAGCTGTGCGGCGGGTTGGACGGATCAGGTGGAGACTTTTGCCCTCCTCACTCTGCCCCAGGTGCTGGAGGAGGCCTGTGGTTACTCCCTCTTTATCCCAGGAAGGGACTGTCTGCCTGGTGGAGGTCAGTCATCTGTCTTTCTTCACAATGGCAAAATTCTTCGAATAGGGAAAATATTATTTTAGTTTGACTCGAGCCAAGTCAAATACATCAGAGGGCCAAAAAACGAGTTTACTACAAGCCGTGAGGCGGACTGGTTCAGTATTTATCAAAACATATTAAAATGATTGCATATAACCTATTGAACCAAGACCTAGCACAGTGTAGCATATTTTATTTAATAATTCAATTAATAATTCCAACATTTTATATGGCGCTATCAGTAGGGATGTAAAAAACTATGAATTTTCATGACCGACCACCGAGCCTCATTAACCGGTTGAAACCGGTTAACCGCGTAGTTTAAAATAGTCCACGTTCTTTGAAATAACAGCCATTTCGAGCCGCGTACTTTTCATAAGTGCAGCTCTGCGTTCTACTGGATCAGAGTTGAGACAGCGGCGCCAAAACCCACAACAGCTCCGGCACCTTTGCGCACAGAGAACTGCTTTTTTAATCTTCCCATTCTGCTGTGCTGCGGGTTAATACCAAAACTTTCTAGCAGCAAACGACGGCTCGTTCACATGGTCAGAGCAGCGAGTGACGAGCCGCGTCTCACAGGTCTTCACAAAAGTTTAAATACAAGTGATGTGTGTGGAGCTGATCCCGAGGACCATAAACACAAACATGTTCCATGTGGTTTGACTGGAGCCGCGTATTTGTGCGAATCCTTTGGGCTCCGTGACACAGAGGAGCGCGACAGACCGGTATGTGTGTGTGTGTGTATGTGTGTATGTGTGTGTGTATGTATATGTGTGTGTGTGTAAATGTAAGCTCCAATGTAGTTCTGACCCGCACCAGTGTGCAACTTTGACGGTAACAGAGGGGAGAGATGATGCGTGTGGATGTTACGTATGGAGAGGGGGAAAGTGTGTGTGGGTGTGTGTGTGTGTGTGTGTGTTTGTGTGTGCGCGTGCGCGTGTGTGCATATGTGGCTCGTGCGGCATGAGAGTCGGCCCGGAGTTTACTGTTACATTGGCGCACACAGCTAGATACAGACCCGCTCGTCACACCGTGCAAATAGGGCTTAAAATAGCGTTATTAAGAGACCTCCCCTCTCCCCTTTTTCTCTTTTTTTAACCGACAGCTTTGACCGGTTAACGCTGTGACGGTCAACCACCGGTTAAACGGTCGCCGATTTACATCCCTAGCTATCAGTAATTTCAAGTGAACATATTTTTCAACAGGCTCACAGAAAAAAGCAAGCTTCCTTCAAACACATATCAACATTAAATGAATTATCCAATATTTTTGGATGGCTCTGTGCGGGCCGGTTCTAATACTAATCAAATATCATCCTGCTGGGCAAGATAATTCATTTGTGGGCCGGATCTGGCCCGTGCGCCTTGACTTTGACACCCATGTCTTAACAACAAAGGCATACTTCATTGTAAGCTCACAATATTCAAACCCTGTGGTCATTGTATTGTTGACAACAACTGTCTAAAGTTTAAGACTTCTAAGTTTTACAGTTTTTATGCAGTTTCTCTTTTTCATCAAGTTGTGCAATTTGGAACCAATTTGGCTTTACTGAAATTTCATCATCATAAAAACCATATTTTTTATTTTTGGTCCTTATAAGTTACTAATCTGTATGATTTTTTCAACATATTTTAAAAGTTCTTTAGTTTTAGTGTAAATGTATATAAAATACAATTATAATTATTTTATTTATATAATTATATATATACAATTTTTGGAGCACAAGAGAAAAGGTAAAAAACTTTTTCGGAAGTGATTTATTTTCCATATTATGTGTTATATCTTTTGAATGCAAAGTCTGATATAGTTTACAGTTTTTGGGGTTTGGTGTTCAAAATACATCTGCTATTGCCAGCAGAACAGTTTGAAAATAAAAATGGCCCGCCGGCGGGCGGGTGGATGTTATCAATCCAATGAATGATGCAGCTTGTGTTCTGATTTGCACAGAGCTCACACAAAATGCTTGGTGCACAGAGTCAGGACTAAACATTGAGAGGCAGCGTTTCAGATTTATGCAGATAAGAGCTGGAGAGAGTCTTTCTGAAAATGTGAGACAGGCTTCCTCTGACAATGTTCAAATCCATGTTAAAACGGTTGTGTTTAGCTGTGCAACAAAAGGATTGTATCTTCACTCTTTTAAAGTCCTGTTATTGATTTGTCCCTTGTGTGATTGTAAATCTGGTTTTGTTAAGCACTTTTAGTTTCCTGGTGTATGAACTGTGCAATACAAATAACCTTGCCTTGCCTTTTTATAGCGGGCCCTCCACAGTCAGGCTCTTTCTGATTTGACTTCCGGCGCATGAAACCTCAACCTTTTTCCATTCTTTGTGTGGAACTGAAAGTAGAAGCAGCTCATTGTAAATGGAACATTACATGAAAAAGAGCCTAGTTCACGGTTTAATTCTTTAAGTATCTGATTCTCTGGTCTGTTTTGGTGAATCGACAGCTTTCTGAAGTCCTACTGTTGTGATTTAGGGCTTTACAAAAACAAATTGAATTCACTTGAGTTCAAATGGGTCTTTCCTGAAATGCACAGATGTCCACAATGCACAGATTATTTTCCGTGCTGCTCAAACACTGAGGTGTGTGTTGTGGCTGCAGCTGTGATAGACTCGGTGGAGGAGAACCTTCAGGCCAGCCGCAGGATGCTCCTGCTCTACAGCGCCTCCACCTTCAGCAAGAAGAACTGCAGCAACAACAACACACTGCTGTCCAGGCCCACGGTCGACCACACAAAGACGTATGACCAGAGGTACGTGTCGACACCTGAGCATGTCCTCACAGCTGCTGTTCACAGGGACACAGACCCACTGTCTTCAGCAGAAATACACCCACAGTCTGGAGGTGGGCAAATCTTTTCTTTGGGGGGCCACAATTTCATGAGGTTATTTATTTATTTTATTTAGGTAAATTTTTTAAATTTTATTTAACCTATCTACTTCAGTTTTAACAGAATAAATGTATAACACAGCCGTGATAGGACAAGGGCCTGGGCCGCATAGAAATGTAAATCTGGCCAAATGTGGACCCCAGGCCACACTTTGCCCAGATCTGCTTTAGTCTCTTTCTCGCATTTCTCCTGGTTCTTGAGGGTCCAGTTCAGACCGGTTCAGTTAGGGGAGGGGAGGGGACGGATCACATATGAATAGAGTTGGTTCTTATTAGAGTGGTACAACTGCATGTGAAAGCCAGATCCTTAGTACAGTGATGGATGCCACAGTGCCAAATTGTCATTATGCCCTTGGGCAAGACACTTCACCCATGTTTTCCAGAATGAGTCTGGAGTGTGTGTGAATGGTTGGTGGTGGTCAGAGGTGAATCCCCCACACAGTGATATCATACGTGTTTTATCTTGCAGAACGACCAAGACCACACTCAACAACAACACAGAGCCCCAAGACCTGAGCTCCAGCCAGGACCACCTCCAACAGATGGATAACGGCCAGAGCATCAGTCTGAAGCAGCTCCACACCAAAGCTCCCCAGGACATGAAGGGCACGGACCCCCAAGACATGAAGGGCGCAGACCCTCAGAGCGAGCCCCAGAGCAGGGGGGACACTTGTGGCCACACTCGTACCCAGATGGAGTGTGTGGCGGCCATGCACAGGGCTCTGCTGGAGCGGTCTCTGAAGGTGAGCGCCTAAGCATCATTAAACATGCTGTAATTACTGACCCCAGCCCCTGTGCCTTTGGAGAGTGGGTCAAGTAAGTAAGTAATCTTTATTCATGTAGCGCAATTCACAAACTAAAGCACAATGTTTTTTGGAGTCCAGATATTTTTCCATTCACTACACACGAGTTGGGGACAGTCATTCTAAATATATGTTATCTCAAAAGCTTCGTAAAGCAGTACTTTACTTAATTCGGCTCAGCTCTTCTCTGCTCCGATTGGGAGTGTTTCCGACAGCCCTGTTAAACTGATACCAGCTACTTTCTAGTTCCTGCTGGGTCCTCGTTCTATCCAGGCCAATCTGGTACTTAAGTGTTTCCAACTGCCTGTGATTGGCCAGCTCCTGGAAGCCATGGTTACCAAGGAAGGTCCCCAATGCCTGTTGGTTGCTAGGATATGGTACTGGATACTAAAGCATAATGGAGCGAAACAGGAGTAAAGTGTTTGTGACTGGTCTTTCTGGGTGCAGGTGATCCTGGTGGAGCTGGAGGAGCTCGCGGCTCCTGACGTGGAGCAGCTCCCACAGTCTGTGCGTCACCTCAGGCAGACCCAGGGTGCTGTGTGCTGGTGGAAGACCAGCAGGAGAGCGAGGGCCCCCTGGAGGACACGGGACATGGGGGACGTAGAAACACCGCTATCCTCCTGTGTGAACCCCAACTCCAGGTTCTGGAAGGAGGTGCGCTACAGGATGCCCATCTGAACGGGAGACATGTGCACGTGTTTTGTCCATTACAGACGGGATAAGGACAAGAACTAGGACAAGGATTGGGACAAGGACCGGGACAAGGACCGGGACAAGGACCGGGGGCAGGTCGCATGCCACAGATTGACAGAGAAACAAACCAATAAGAAATCAGCAGATGGACAATAGCTGTGTGTCAGGAAAGTTTTAGTCCAAATAGCGACAGTGCAGAGCAAATTCGCTAATTTCTTCTGAACTTGTTGCAGAACGCGGCTCCACGACTTCTCAGTATGTTTGTTGTGTTCCGTGCCCAGTTCTCAGTTCACTTCCTGTTTCATACGTCAGGAAATTAACGTTCGGTCCAAGAGTTTGTGCTCTGAAGAACTGCAGATCAAAGTGGCTCATTCTTTGTGCACTTTGGTTCATTTCTTGATGATAAAAAACGGTATTTTCATCATCTTTTGGCCTCGGCCCGAGCTCCGTTCAGGGGCCGTCGGTGGCCGCACTCACTTCCTGTCAAATGTAAAGAAGTGGTTGTGGGTGGCCATGCTAACAAGAGTGTGCACATTCGCATCATCTCTTACTCCATTATCAATGTCATTCATATTTTGTCAAGAAATGATTTAACATTCTAAAACATGAGATGCCAAAATTAATCATTTTATGGGTAAAATAAAACCGATATAAAACAATAAAATATTTCCAACGTCTCTCTAACAAAGAGCCCCTCATTGTACAGGTACATTCTAAAAATAACCCACAATAAGTGAAATTTTTGAAGTAGCAGCTGTATGTTTTAAGGCTGTAAAAGCCTCACACACACTTTACCCACTTTTCTAACCACCTAAACTAACAACTGCTTGTTTATTTGTGGAGATATCAAACCTGTTGGTGTTTGGTCTGAGCGCTGCTGCAGCTGTCAAAAGCCGTGCAAACACTGTCACATACAGCTGCAGAGGTTTAAATAAACGTAACTGTTAAGATGTACTAGCGGTTTTATGATGATGTTGGAGTATACACACGGGGCATGAGAAGAACCCTGTAAAAAAGCACAATTGCACACTCTGAGAAAAGGCGTTGAATGTTGAGCCATGTTATAGTGCGCTCTTCTTTTAAGAGTTGATCCTTGCCAATGCAGGAGGGTCAAAGGACAGTAGTGATGATCCAGGACACTCGACATTCAACAACATTCATGAACATTTATCAACATTTATGGAGATTGGTCATCTGCCCCTTATGTACCAATGTCACTATGTGTTTTTATCATTGCAATTGATTCTCTAATCTGTGTGGGCGAATTCAACGGTTTTGTTAAGTCCTCCGAGATTTCATTTTTGTGATTTAGGGCTCTACAAGAATAAATTGAATTGAAGTGAATAGTGAGGGACCACTGTTCACCGCAGTTCTAACCTTTGCACACCCACACGGATTCTGAGAGTTTTGCTTGTGACACGTTTCCACCACAAGCGGCTGTGAAGGAAGTGCTTTTGATTATGGACTTCTCAGAACTCTATAACGCAGCCCCCTTTTGCACATGGGCCCATCTTTAAAGGAAAGTTCTCAGCCACGTCGTAACCATGGCACCTCCACGGGTTTATTAAAGAAATGTAAATATGTCCCATTGTGAGCCGTAAATCTATACTGTGAAAGAGTGTGTATGTTTGAGCATCATAAGGTGATTCAGCTGGTATGACACATAAATAATATAGTTTCAGACTAATAAAGTCTATTTTGTGAAAAAGTGTGTGATATTTGTGAAAATATGTTGAAATTGATAGGAAGCTGAAATAAGCATCTTCAATTTAGTTCAAGCAACAACATTTGGTACGTGGAGATGGTGACACAATGAATGTAGCAATGCAAAGTCCAAAGAGACCAAACAGAGATCACAATGCATTGATGAAAAATAAGTAAAAAATTACTTGAATTTGGTCAAATCTATCCTAATTTGAGCACATTTTGACTGTCTTACACAAGATTTGCCAATTGATAATATAAAATAAGATAAGATAAATGGTGGCACGGTGGCTGAGTGGATAGCACTCTCGCCTCTTAGCAAGAATCCCGGCCAGACCAGGGCCTTTCTGAGTGGAGTTTGCATGTTCTCCCCGTGTCTGTGTAGGTTTCCTCCGGGCACTCCGTTTTCCTCTACCACTAAAAACATGTACAATAGGTCTGGCATGCGCCTCCTGCACTGGCGACCCTGCTCCCATCTCTATGAGGAGTGAGAGGAGAAATGCCAAAAAAATAACAATTATAAACCACTTTGTGACTCTGGTCTGTGAAAGGCGGTATATAAATACCGTAACTTACTTACTAACCCAAGTGAAAAAAATATACATTTAAATATACTTATAGTGTATTCCATTTCTAACTAATACATTGTAAACATATTTTGTTAAATTACATTTAAATCTAGTATATTTAAAGTTTACTAAATGTGTATTTTAGAGAAGTACTCCAAATACATTTATTATTTATTATATTATAATATATTTGAAAAATAATACATTAATTTTTAGTACGCTCAAAATATACCCAAAATATATTACAGATCTGTATTTTAAATATATTTCACAGGAGTATACTTAAAATGTATTTAAGAAAACTACACTTAATTTTAGTACAAGAAAAATATATCATAAATACATTACAGATTTGTATTCTAAATATGAAGCTCTTCGCGAAAGTTCACTGTGGTAGACCCGGTGTTCTGCCGAAAAGTGACGCTCTGCCAAAAAGTGACGCTTATGTAATGCTCAGCTGTTAATGATGTAATGCAAACCTGCGCGCATGCGCGTCTCACGGCAGCCGAAACAAACCAAGATGGCGGACAGAAAGTCGGAGAATTGCTTTAAAAGTTATAATACGAACGAAATAAGACACGAATGTCACTTTTAATGCAATTTGAGGCGAGATGTTGATGGTTCCGTGTAGCAACTCTACAGCTTTGTTTTCTCTTCACCGAAGCTGAAAACTCACGTGAGTATGGCTCTCCGTTACAAAGGGCATATATTTGTATTAGTATAACGTATTATAAAGTTTGCAACCGAGCGCGTTGACTTCACTGACCTCACTGACTCTACCAAATCCTATACAGAATATTATATTACTTTTTCAACTTTGTACCATACTCCTGGGTTCGAAATTACATTATGGGGATACATTTTACGTACACGCGTAACGTATGAATGAATACGCGGTCATAATCCCTCCCGAAATGTATTGATTTTCTAATATTTGCTCGTGGAGAGATGGTAACATTATGTACTCGTGAAGAAGATGATAAAGTCTGGGATCGCGTCTTTCATTCAGACAGAAGACATGCTTTATTGTCAATGGTAGAGACAGCAGAGATAGTCAAAACAAGTAGTGGAAAAGTACAGGCTTATGCACATTGATAGAATGATGAGTTGAACTTTAACAACAGTTACTTAAAAGTGTTATGAAATCTCACACTAGTAAAAAAGATAAATTACGTTTCATTTATGTGTGTTGTTTCACATGGATGTAGCCTCATCACTAATCCTCTTCCATAGTATCTTATCTCTTGATATCTAATGGTGAAAGGAAGTCAATATTAATACAAAGTCAAAGATTTCCATCTTTTTTAAATTAGATATTTTTGTGTGGATGTTTGATCAGCTTTTAATTATTATCCACTTCCCCGTTTTCACATCTGCTTTTGATTGATACTGTTTTTTGACTCCTGCATTTCCACCTGACCACAATCTCTGTCTCCTCCCCTCTGATTTGTATGCCACACTGATTGATACACCGTTTTTTGACCCTTGCCTGTCCACCTGACCAAGATTTTGTCTTTCATAATCATAATGGAGGATAAATGGGATGAAATGTTTCTTCTCCTCACAGAGAAGATTTATCCTGAGGGAATGAATACATTTCAGACAGACAGAACTTGAGGAAGTACTCCCATAAATTTACTGCAAAGGGTAATAATGCATTTGCTATTATGGTTATACATGTCTTATTGTTCTTCTGTTGTTTTATTATAATTCAGTTGTTATAGATGGTGAGCTGTTCCATGACAAAAGAAGAGCCATTAAAACAAGACACGAGGCACAGAAACTATTTAAAAAAGTGTCATGCTACACCCACGGGAGGCCACACTGGCGTGAAAAAAACCTGCCATTTGTTCCAGGTTTTACTGGCGTGGCAGGACTGATGATTGACAATATGGTATGTTTTTTCCTTTTATTTGTCTGTACAATTCCCTTCCCTGTCTGTTCTTTTTAAGATTTATGAGTGTGACCAATGTCAACGTGAGGGAAAGTCTCTGGGTTCAGTTGCACCACTCCAAACAATAAAAGTAATTGTATTTATTGTTCCTATCCAACCAGCAGTGTACATTAATGCATTCAAATCCTGTTTGCTTGTTAGGTGTCTGCTGTTTGGGAGCTGTTGGGGCCCTTCCCCAAAACTACTGATGGCTATCAGTACATATTTACAGCCACGGATTATTTTTCAAAGTAGGTAGAGGCTTTCCCATTTAAAAACTAAGACGGCTGTGGAGGTTGGCCAAAGACTTTGCTTTATAATATACAGGGGTGCCCAAAATGTATCCTGTCTGATCAAGGGCGGGAATTTGTAAATGAAGTAAATATTGTTTGTGTACTTCTTGTTCATACTCTTATTCATTTTATTTTCATTGTTTCAGCTCAATGTTACTCTGTGTTCTCTGCTGGGCATTGAGAGAAGCGTCACCGCTGCGTACCACCCACAGACTGATGGATTGGACAAAAAGACCAACCACAACATAAAGAGGCAAGAAAGTGTCCAACAAGGCTCAGTGATTCAGTTCGCTCCTCTACCACAAAACAAGGCCAGTAGAAAGACACACACATATTATCATTTAAAAAGTACATTTTTAAATTGTCAGATGTTCATGTCTTTACTAAATCTTAACACTCAGTTCCCATAAATGTTTTTCTGCATAAAACAGTTTGTTTAAATAATCATCCTCCAGCAGTCACATGACGCATGTGTAAAAAAAGCCAGCATTGAGGAGCAAGGTTGTAATTGTACAAAGTTCTGACCTGATGGTATTATTATGTTTTTCTCTAATGCAGGTCATTGATTCCGATCTACGTGTGCTGGTGAACAAAGTAGAGGTGACATGTGTCCTTTACATTGGCTTGTTTCAGCAGAAACCTGTTCCCCAGCTCTCTGCTGTTGTGGGCACAAGCCTCTGTGCGTGGACAAATGAAACCACTTACAAAGGAAGTTCCAATTTCCGTGGGCCAAATATTCCTTGCATACCCATATGGTTACAAAGACAATAACACTTTTTGGTTCCACTTTTTTATAGATGAAATTTCCAGAAGAGGCTCACTGGATCTGCCCCATAAAGACTGGAGGCCACTGGGTGTTAGCGGTCGTCCTCATGGAGGATAAATCAGTATTGCTCATTGACCCCATGGGAAACGAGGCCCTTTACAAAACAAACATCCTCAAAAACTGGAGGTTTGTCCTATCTGAAAAGTTATCATGAGACTTGTTTTGTAACTGTTCATCTCACTTTAGGAAGTTTCTGAGGCAGGCTCACAGAGGCAGTGGTCAATGGACTGGGAGTGTGCTCAAGCACCAGCTACAAATTGACACCTCTAGTTGTGGCATTTTTATTTTAAAGGTGATTCTGTAATTATTTATTCTTCTTTGAAGGCATAGTGACATGTCCTATTAGCTGTATATATAGTTTGCCGAGGCATGGCTCCTCCAGGGCCATTTGGATGCTGTGTGCACAAACTACAACTTTATTGCTGCAGCGTGTCTGGAAGTGGCATGTACGCTGCTTCAGCGAGGAGGTTATTATCGTCCTTACTTTTGAAATGTTATACCTGGGTTAATCAACAAAACTGAGACTGAAACATTGTGTTTATTTGTAGGTGAAGATGACTACTGTGGTGTGTGTTGTTTCCACTTAAGTGGAGATGAAAAGGTATTTTCCTCTTATACCCTACAGCATGTGTTTCTGGAATGACTAAAGTTTACTTATTTTGGATAGGTGCAGTGTTGTATGTGCGGCGACTTCACACATTTTGATTGCACCAACAAAAAAGCGCCTTTGGTAGCATGTAATAAATGTAATCAATAGAAAAAAGTGTTGGCCACACATGTCAGAGTAATTGTATTTTTATAAAATGTACCATGTTGCAACAGTGGTTTCTGGTCTTTGTTTTACCTTGTGCTTTTCAGAATCATAATTTTTGTTTTGCTCTACATCTGAGGCTATGGTGCAAAGTCCCTGGTTATCTATGCATTTATTTTTAATTACTATTCAAATCAAAATATTGGAAAGTCAGAGGTAACAACATTTCAGAACACAACAGTGTGACAGCAAGATATACCTCTATCAATCTTGTGACATGTGGTTGTATACTACACAAATTATTGGGATTAGTAGTGTTGGAAATGTGTATTTATAATTAAACTGTCCTCTGTTCATATGTAATGTGATGGTGTTTCTGTAGCTACATAAAAAATATAAAATTAATCGAATGTAACATGTGTAATCTTGTTATTCGGTATGGATACATTACAATACAATCGTTAATAATCCCATATCAACATAGTAAACTGTAGAGTTGCCACAGGACGCGTCATCAGCCTGCGTCCGCAGCCGAGGAATGCTATCATAACATTAGCTTTGTGGTTTCACAGGCAGAGTTGACTGCTTAAACTAAACTTTACCCGAAAGTTTGACTCTTAAAACCCACATGTGCCAACACGGAACCATCAACATCTCGCCTCAAATTGCATTAAAAGTGACATTCGTGTCTTATTTCGTTCGTATTATAACTTTTAAAGCAATTCTCCGACTTTCTGTCCGCCATCTTGGTTTGTTTCGGCTGCCGTGAGACGCGCATGCGCGCAGGTTTGCATTACATCATTAACAGCTGAGCATTACATAAGCGTCACTTTTTGGCAGAGCGTCACTTTTCGGCAGAACACCGGCCGCTGCTTGCCCAGATCTACAAGCCTGCTCATCCTCGACTCTTCATACCAGCAACGCCCACATCTAATCAACCAATAACCACCAGGACAGCAATTTAAAAGCCGGAGACACCCACTTCCCGGCCTTCTGAAGTTTGCAAAGGCTTCTGAAGTCCGCAAGCTTCTGAAGCCTGCAAGGTGCATGTCGCTAACGCACCTGTTTGCAAATGCATGCGTTGTTCTGGAGGGGTCGCTTCTGCTCACGTGTTGCTCGTGCGCGCGACCCTGGCGTCCTCAGTCTGGCTGCTTGTGGTCTGCTCCTCCTCCGCGTCCCTGCACCTGCTGTGTTTCGCGTGTCTCCACTGCTCTCCTCCTCTGCGGGCTCTTCTGCGGGCTGCTCCGCGGGGCCCCTCCGCGGGTTTTTGTGCTGCTCGTTCCTCGTGGTCTGCTGCCGCGCGCAGACGGTCTGGCGGTGCCGTGCATGTCCCTGCCTCCGATTGGCGGTGCCGCGTTGTCCCGTTGCTTTTCCCAAGTCTCCTGGCATGTGAGTACAGTGAGTGTGCTGACCGCGGACGGATTAATCCCGGAGTCTAGGCTGCAGGCGGCTGGTTTTTGCCCTACGCACTTGACTGCAGGCGTCAGTTTTCGCCCCGTGCTTGGTCTGCAGGCTCCGTTTTCACACGTGTTTGAGCTAACTGAGGGGCAATGCATCCTAAATGGCATCAATCTCTATTGTCTGAGGGATATAAGAGGAGCAATGTGCATTAATTCAGATTCATGTTCTGCCACTCGCAGTAAAACCACGTTGGAAAAAAATGTGCAAAGACTACCCATCGTGCTCCAGACGGCACACACCAGAACTCTTGCCACGGCGCCATCTTTACAGCATTAATCTCATTACTCGCAGGTCACTATTGTTAAATGAATGGATTTAAATTCGTCTATCTGCAGGAGGAAGGAGGGGCCATGCATTTAAATAGCTAGGTCACTAGTATTAAATTGGGTAACTAAACTGCAGTTGTTGCATTTTGAAAGTGCAGCAGAAAGAAAAAGGGCCCAATGTGAATCTGCAATGGGTTTGAAGTGGAGTTGGAGCTAATGAACGCATGGAAAAGTGATCGTTCATGCGTATCTGCCATAACCAAAGCAGCAGATGGCTCCGGGGACATCTGTTATTCGCATGGGAATGTTTCGGATTCGGGTTGATTTATTTCCTCAGGCTGTTAAACAACCATGGGCATGGTTCTCTGACCGCCGCTGCTGCCGTTCCTACTGATGCCTGATCCCGCTGCTGCCTGTTCCCGCTGCTGCCTGTTCCTGCTGCCTGCTCCTGCTGCTCATGCTACTACATGTGCCGCTGCTGCTGTTCCTGCCGCTGCCGCTCCGCGGGCTCCCAGGCTGCACCTGTCTCTACGGCTCGGCTCTTTCAGACACGTATGTAACCTGGCTCACAGAGACAAGCGGCGCACACTGGCGTGACACGTCTGTTGTTCGTATGAATCGCATTGTGGTGCTACTGCTCCTGCTAATGCTGCTTCTGCTGCGTCATACTGCTACCGCTACTGCTGCTACTGCTGCTATTGCTGCCGCTGCCGCTTCATACTGCTACTGCTGCCGTGCTGCTGCTGCTTCTTTTACTTTGACACCTCTCTTCACTTCGCATCCTTCTACTGAAACACTAAACAGCTACAACAATATTCTACTGCTGTGGCTTTGATACAGGATTATTGCTGTTATTATCTACGGATGCTGCAACTGCTGCTGCTGCTGCTTCATACTGCTACTGCTGCTACTGCTGCTGCTTCATACTGCTACTGCTGCTACTGCTTGCTGCTTCATACTGCTACTGCTGCTGCTGCTTCGTTTACTTTGCCATCTCTCTTCACCGGCATCTCTTTTACTGAAACACTGAACAACTACAACAACATTCTACTGCTGTGGCTTTGATACAGGATTATTGCTGTTATTATCTACAGATGCTGCAGCTGCTGCTACCCACTCTCTCAGAAGCTTATCCTGCTTCTAATGGATGCAGCCCGGCTGAGTATGCCGCGCTGCGCTGGACTCGCACCTATGCTCCCAGGGTCGCTTCGGCGGTCATGCTTCATCTCTATACTACTCTTCTGATTCTATCAGATGCAGCCGGCCGAGTTTGCTGCGCTGAGCCGTCAATCGGACTCCTAATCAAAGGCATCCATACCTGTATTCTTCACTCTTCTGATCGCAGGCTCCCCATCATGCTGCCCATCCTGCAGCGGCACTGAACTCCGGCTCATCTTCCAAGTACATGTCTGCCCTCCTCGCAGCATCTTCCTGCTCGCCTTCTATGGCTTCTCTGCATAAGCGTTTCACTACTGCTCACTCAACCTTCATGCGGTCCGAGACACGGCTTTCCCGACCTTCCTACTGTCCTGCATTTCCTACTCTCCAACCCAAGATTCTAAGCGTAAGGGCGCCTGCAAACATCAATGGCCCTCTCCGACATGTCTCTGCCCCTACAGGTCTCCGCTTCTACACGGACGCTGCCCCTTCCGTGGGTTTTGGGGGTTCTTCCAGGACCATTGGTTTGCCTGGCCGTGGCCGCTACTTTTCACCGGAGCATCTCTTCTGCCCTACACGAAATATTCCCAGTGGTCGTGGCTGCGCGCTGTGGAATCACACGTGGCAGAGAAAGAGGATCTCTGTCATGTGTAATAATCTCGATGTAGTGGAAGCATTACACAAAGGTCGCTCTTTTTCACCCAACATAATGTCCCCTGACCATTTCAACCTTCATCTCAAACATTCAAAAAATCAAAGGAGCCTGCAACATAGTAACAGCTCGCTCCGACACATCTCTCTGCCCCTACAGGTCCATGATGCGTTACACTCGCCTCCGCTGCAAAAAGGAGATTTTAACGGACCTCTCTTTCTCACTCCAGACATTCTTCCCATGACAGCAACCTGGTTCAGAGCTCAACTAAGATCCCTACTGCTCCTCTGTAAATTATCTCCCCAGCTCTACACAGCTCACTCATTCAGGATAGGCGCCGCCACGCGCGCGGCCTCGCTGGGGCTCCCCCACACCTCTCTGCAACAGCTGGGGCGCTGGTCCTCTTCGGCCTTCTCCGCCTACATCAGGCCAGACGCGTCCGCCATCCTGGCTGCACAACGGCAACTGGCTTCCTCGTAAGCTCCCAGCAAAGCAATACAAAGCAAAGTAAGTGAACCTATAAGATTCTGGTGGCGGCACGCACTTTAAAGAAACTCTGCTGCAGCGTCTGGTATCGATCGTGATGCGAGCGCTCACGTCCCAGGCAGCGTCCGGTTGATCGTGATGCGAGCGCTCACGTCCCGGCGCTTAAAGATAACTCTGCTTCAACGTCTGGTATCGATCGTGATGCGAGCGCTCACGTCCCAGGCAGCGTCCGGTTGATCGTGATACGAGCACTCACGTCCCGGCGCTTAAAGGCAACTCTGCCGCAACGTCTGGTATCGATCGTGATGCGAGCGCTCACGTCCCAGTCAGCGTCCGGTTGATCGTGATGCGAGCTCACGTCCCGGCGCTTAAAGGCAACTCTGCTTCAACGTCTGGTATCGATCGTGATGCAAGCGCTCACGTCCCAGGCAGCGTCCGGTTGATCGTGATGCGAGCGCTCACGTCCCGGCGCTTAAAGGCAAACCTGCCGCAACGTCTGGTATCGATCGTGATGCGAGCGCTCACGTCCCAGGCAGCGTCCGGTTGATTGTGATGCGAGCGCTCACGTCCCGGCGCGCAAAGATAACTCTGCCCGTTTTTGGGGATTATGCGTGCGAGCAAGCGCCGCGCTCAACAGAATCTCTCCCGGGCCTGGGGCGCCAAACATGCTCAATCAACAAACTTCTAACTGCATTTTCCCTCTTGGGTCTCTCCAAAGTGAAATATTTTATGGTAGTATACTTGAATGTAAGAGAAAATACACTTGATTTTAGTACACAGCAAATTCAATAGTGTTGGATTGACAGCTGTTGAGAGATAGAAGGAAATATATATATATATATATATTTTTTTTCATTTACACTAAGACTAAAATAAACTATTAATATGTTGTTAATCTGGCAAAAAAGATACTTTGCATTTCCTTACTTTTAATCTCTTTCAATATTATTTGGCAGAGGAACAAAAAACAATTTATTCAAGGATCCAAACATTCAAGGATCAACAGCAAATACATTGCTGGTTCTTAACACTTCAGTAATAAATGTAGAAGATATCTTCAGCTGTCTCTCCAAACATGGTCAGTTTTACTCAGCTTTAAAGCTGCACTAACTGACTTTGGGATTTTGAAGCCGTGGACTCGCTGGCCTCGCTCTTTCTGCTCCCCTCCCCACACCCACGAAGCTATCGCCCCCCACACACACTCACTGTTGGGACGGAGCTAGCGTCTCCCAATATGGATAATACATGGATATAGATTTGTGCGTGCGTAACCAGATTTGTGTGTGCGTACCCAGATTTGTGTGTGCGTAACCAGATTTGTGCGTGCGTAACCAGATTTGTGTGTGTGTAAAAGAAATATTTGTGCGTGTGTAAATAGATTTGTATGTACGTATCAAGATTTGTGTGTGCGTAAAAAGATTTGTGTGTGCGTAAAAAGATTTGTGTGTGCGTAGAAAGATTTGTGTGTGTGTAAAGAAAAAAAAAGTACGTTTTACACACAAGTTTTTTTTTACACACGAATCTTTTGACGCAGTCCTGCCTTTGCAGATTCGCAAGTGTAACTTGGACTGTGTGCGTCGCGTAAACAGATTTGTGTGTGTGTAATTTGACATTTGTATTTGTAGCAGAACAATCTGTGTGTAAATAACCGCGTTGTACAAAGAGAAGAACGAAAAAAGCCTAAGTGCTACGCACAGGCTCTGTTTTACACACGAATCTCTTTTTGACACACCTCTGCCGCCAAGCGTGTGTCAACAAGATTTGTAAGTGTAATGTGGTTGTTCTAGCAGTACACCAGCAGATGGTGCTGTTGTAGCTGGTTATTACCTACACGCAAGCAAACCAACAAGTGTAGATAGAGAAAACCGAAGGATTTAACAAGAAGAAAAGTTCAGGATGACAAGGAACACTAAAATTCCCACAAAATCCGACCTTTATGAAAGCTGTAGGTTATCTGTCAGCTGTTTTAGTTTACTTTGAGTTCTATGGGGAAAATTTCTGTGTAGCCAACGTGAATTTAGTCTGCAGTACGTGAGAATCCTTCAGCTCCAAGCTAGTAACACCCTATCCAGTTATTATAATAGATCCATGTATCATACAGTGGTGTGAATGACAGGATTTTGAAAATAGGAAAAAAATATCATAAACAGCTGCGGTAGTGTGTCTTGTCAAGGCAGTAGGTTTTGGTTTGCTTGCGTGTAGGTAATAACCAGCTACAACAGCACCATCTGCTGGTGTACTGCTAGAACAACCACATTACACTTACAAATCTTTTTGACACACGCTTGGCGGCAGAGGTGTGTCAAAAAGAGATTCGTGTGTAAAACAGAGCCTGTGCGTAGCACTTAGGCTTTTTTCGTTCTTCTCTTTGTACAACGCGGTTATTTACACACAGATTGTTCTGCTACATATACAAATGTCAAATTACACACACACAAATCTGTTTACGCACGCACACAGTCCAAGTTACACTTGCGAATCTGCAAAGGCAGGACTGCGTCAAAAGATTCGTGTGTAAAAAAAAAACTTGTGTGTAAAACGTACTTTTTTTTTTCTTTACACTCACACAAATCTTTCTACGCACACACAAATCTTTTTACGCACACACAAATCTTTTTACGCACACACAAATCTTGATACGTACATACAAATCTATTTACACACGCACAAATATTTCTTTTACACACACACAAATCTGGTCACGCACGCACAAATCTGGTTACGCACACACAAATCTGGGTACGCACACACAAATCTGGTTACGCACGCACAAATCTTTTTACGCACACACAAATATTATTGAAACAATAATAGCTCCATATACATACATACATCATTTACAACATGTGTTATACTTTACAGGAGGAAAATGTTGATTGTGTGGCTTCAGTTGTGAGGGAGGCAAATGGATTCATTCCCAGTTATACTGCAGCGCCTACCATGGAAGAGATAGTTTCATGTCTTTGTGGTAAGTTTAGTGGCTTATCAAAATGTAACCTATATTGTTCATAATGTTTGCAAGTAAGTAATCTTTATTTATATACCGCCTTTTAACTGCAGATCTGAGTTTCAAAGCGGTTTACAATTGCATTAATGCATTACCAACATTTTATTTACTTTTTATTTTTGAAGAACTGCCTGAAACCTTAAAATTAATCAAGGAGTGTGTGGAGGGTTAGGGTTACTGCTCACTTTTATGTCATCCCACAGCACTTCTTGCCTGGAAACAATGTTAGCGTTTCAAAAATGGCTTTTCCTGAATCGAATTTGCATGTTTTTCACACAGGAATTAGCTGTCCTTGTTTTCACGAGGGAGATATTAGCAACATCAGCCCGAACTGGAAAATCAGGAAGAAGGGAAAGGGTGAGGCATCAACTTGATGCTACAAAAGTGCAACCCATAACAGGTGAGTGAATCTGATCTGTGGTCAGATCTTTTGCACAATAGGTATGAATGTAAATGAGAGAGTGAATGGATGGTGTTGATTGGGGGCTGATGCGCCAGTGTGTTCGGCAACTTGCCTCCGTCATCACCGTCATTATAAAGCGCTTTGGATGACCTTGGTCTGTAAAATGCTCTATATATATATATATATATATATATATATATATATATATATATATATATATATATATCCATCCATCCATCCATTTTCTTCCCTTTAATCCATTTCTGGGTCAGGGGGGTGGCAGTCAGAGATGCCACCCAAGTCTCATAGCACCAGCCCCTCACTGACCCTCTGCAGGTGGTGAGTCCACAGGAGGACGGCTGTTCTCTGACTGTGAGCATAGCCTTGATCTTTCAGTGGGGGCTTTGGGCAAAGTGGGGTTAAGTGTCTTGCCCAAGGACACAACGACAGCAGTCATCAGTGGGAGTCGGTGGAGAAGGTGCAGAGGTGGGAATTGAACCCACAACCTTCTGGCCTTAAGGCCAATGCTCTACCAACTGAGCTACTGTCGCCCCTATATATATATATATATATATATATATATATATATATATATATATATATATATATATATATATATATATATATATATATATATATATATATATATATATATACACATGCCGTAGCCCAAAGCGACATGTCCATTACACGTGTCGCGTAATGGACGATCGGGTCCATCCGCGGGCACAACGTGGGCTGTATCCGCCTCCTCCCTCGAGTGGTGGCGTAACCAGAGGTGAAGTCCTCCGCCCTCTGGGTCGGCTGCGGTGGCAGGGGGGCATCCATGATGGCCGCCGCGGAGGAGTAGAGCCCAGGCATGTGGTCCAGTGGGAAGCGGTCCGGCTCCGGGTTCGAGACCACCTCGTCCAGGGTGAGGAGGGAGCCGACCTCCGAAACCTCTCCGTCCTCACAGTCACCCCACTCCGCGGGCACGGGTGGAAGGTCGAGTGGGGCCCAGTCAGTCTCAGACTCCTCGTCCTGAGAGGAGTCCGGACGGGGCGCTGCAGCGGCAAGGAACGCACGCCTGCGTTCGCTCTCCTCCCTGGGGAGAGCGAGACACGAGGTGCAGGTGGCGCTCAACGCCGCATGGCCCGGGGTCAGGCACATGAAGCAGCTGGAGTGCTGGTCCGTGCGCTGGAGCCTGACTCGACACGTCGAGCAACGACGACGTCCGACGCCGGAGGGCGAAGGGGAACTCGGACGAGCATCAGAAGACATCTTTTTCTCTGGAAGTGAGTACTGTGGTAGATCTCAATCGGCGCCAGAGTGAAAGAGGGGGTGCGGCCTTCTGCAGGGGCCTTTATAGAGGAGGGTGGCTGGTGATTGGAGCAAATTATTTTGATCTCTCTGGCGCGTGACCTGGGGATCACGAGTGATATCCCACTAGCGAAGTGACGTAGCACCATGACGTAGAACTTCAGTCGTTCTTGCAAGGCCGCTTGGTTCAGGGAATGGCAGTGGCTGGAGTACATTGCGGCCAGTGATGGCATTGTGTGTGGTGTGTGCAGGTCAGCTGTCAAAGGCAAGTTGATTGTGTCAGAATCCGAAAGTCAGTTTTTGAATGATAACGGCTTTTCAAATGGGAGAAAAGCAACGGAAAAGATCAGAGACCATGAAAACACCCGCATTCATTTAGATGCAACCCAAAGATTGGCTGCATTGAAAAGCACGGCAATTAATGCGCTACTCTCTGAGGCCGCTGCTAAGGACCAGAGAACAGCGCGGAAAATGCTGGAGCTCATTTTCAGCAGTGTAAGATTCCTGGGGCACCAGGGACTCCCTCTGAGAGGAGCTGCCAATCGGGATGGGGTGTTATGGCAGCTAATGATGGAAAGGGTGCGCACTGATCCTGATATGGAGAAGTGGATGCAAAGTAGAGACAACTGGCTATCCGGCAGCATCCAAAACGAAATTCTGGAGCTCTTTGCGCATTACATCCAGAGAAACATCGGAGCCAAAGCAGCCCAAAGTCCTTTATTTGGCTTAACTGCGGATGGGACCACTGACTTGAGTGGCAAAGAACAGTTTTCAATCAATGTTCAGGTTTCTGATGACAATCTGTTCAGAATTTCTTTTTGGGATTTTATAACGCCCCGGACACAACCGCAGAGATGCTCTTTTTATGTATAAAAGACGTCCTCGTTTGACTCAACTTGCCTTTGGAGAAACTGAAAGGCTACTGTTTTGATGGAGCCAGCAACATGTCTGGGAGGTTCACGGGAGTACAGGCTGTTTGTTCATTGTGCAAATCACTTTCTGGATTTAGTGCTGCAAGAAGTGGCAAAAGAAGTGCGCCTTGTTGCTGATACATTGAACTTCGTTCGAGAAGTCACAGTAACCATAAATGAATCAGCAAAAAGAAAAAACCTTTATCAGTCTCTTTTCGGATGTGGAGAAGTGGTTAACCTGCTTTCCCTGTGCCCAACTCGGTGGTGCGTCAGGGTTGCGGCACTGTCGCGGTTGATGACCTGCTATGGAGAGATGCTGCAGACATTTCAAACCTTGGAGAATGACAGGACTGTCAGGGGGGAGACGCGCGCAAAAGTGGCAGGCCTGGTCAAAAAGGCCACTACTACGTGCACGGTTTTTGGTTTGTTTGCTTGTGTTGCCGTGTTTTCCCCATGTGAATCGGTGGCTCGGTCACTACAAGGCACTAAAGTCACTGCCCTTGGATCAATGGAAGCTGCAACACTTCTTTGCCAGCGATTGAGCACACTGCGACAGGAGGCCACCTTCGTCGATCTTGTGGGCAAGATGAAGCAATATGAAGACCGCTACAATCTGGCCACCACAGCAAGCGCGCACCAGCAAGACCCCAGTGCGGTAAATCATAATAATGCCAACTGTATTTTGAAACAAAGGAACGTCGCTTACAACATCAGCATGTATTAAAATGCAACAAATACGCACAGATAGTTGTTGTCAAAAATGATTTGACCGACGTGTTCAGAATTTGGTACAGAAATAAGGCCAAGATTCAAGAGTTCCAATAGTACATTTATTTCTCTTTACAATTAAATGTTGATACAGAACTCCCGGAGCTACTCCCTAAATCTCTATCCCTGTGCTCTAACTTTCCCAATGTGTCCTCCCAACGGTTTTATCAGAATCTCCGATGACGTCATATGGTCTCGGGCTGGTCCCAGTCTGGTTTTGTCTCAAGCCGCTAGAGACACGCTGTTCCTGAAAATGATACTTTTATCACAGAAGCCTTTGTCCTTGGTGCTTGTCTGAATTCCATTAAATCCAGGCTTTAATATTGCACAAAGACATGTTATACAAACACCTACTGGAAATCATTAGTATACAACATTATAATTCTACAACATAGTATAGCCGCCTATGGTTCTAATAACTTGTGGAGATGAAAATATGTAAATAGAAATTAGCTTGGAATTAATATGTACACAATTAATAATACACAAACGATGTATATCATGAAAAATTGGAACATGTAAAAGTAAGAAATCAAATTTGAGCATGTTTAAATACGCAGCTCATATAAAATTGTATTGTTGTTTAAGTGATATTATGTTTAATATTGCAGATTATCCAAGCCTGTGGAAGAGGGAGATGTTTGAGGCCTTGGACTTGGTGCGCTCAGAGGTGGAGCGGCGTTTTGATCAGGAGGGACTCCGCGTAGCTGCAGGGCGAGAGCAGGCCATTCTTGAGGCAGCCCAGGGGAAACAAGTTAATGTGGGTTCCCCGGATCTGATCCCTTTTTCACGAGAGAAACTATGTCTTGAGCTGGACATACTGAGTGACGTGTGCAGGGGGCGAGAAGTTTTGACGATTGAAGATGTTGCGTCTATCCTGCGCACCTTGCAGCCCCAAACCCGCTCCATGCTGTCGGAGGTGGAGAAGCTTTTGAAGCTCTGTCAGGCCCTGCCCATATCTGTCGCAGCCTCTGAGCGCTCTTTCTCAGCCTTGGGCAGATTGAAGACCTGGCTACGCAACACAATGAAGCAGGAGAGACTGACACATTTGGCCATTATGAATGCGCATAGTGACCTCTTAGATGAATGCGATGTTTCTTCTCTGCTTGAACAATTCATCAGTAGGTCTACTGAGAGAAGGTCCACTTTTGGAAAAATCTGAAAGTCCTCATATGATTGCAAACTGTTCCATGTCAGTGTCAGTGTTGTGCAATTTACTTTAAATTGTTCCGGTGTTGCAGCTTATAAAAATGACACAGCCACCTTTTTTGACGCGCTTAAGTTTTATTTGGAGCCTTGTGTTTGTCTTTCAGTGCGCACGTGTTTGTTATGCAGCTTTGAAAAAAATTATTTCCAGTTTGAATAGTGCCTTACTTAATTTATATTTTTTCATTATTCTTAACCATTAAGATAATATGTTGTTATCCAGTCTACTACATTTCTGTCTCTCCCCGACTCAACCAAAAAAAACCCGCCCCCCCTCTCCGAAAATAGTTCCGACGTCACTGACAGGTGCCACTGATGAGCTGTAGCTCTAGCAGCGACCAATGACACAAAATGAGCCTGTCATTTCTGTATGCCAGCGTGTCCAAGTTTCTTATATAATATATAATATGTACTGCCTGTATGTGGTATTCAACTTTGATTCACAGGTTTCTTCCATCCAGCCGCGGCGCCAGGGGTAGGCCTGGGTAGGCCGGTGCCTACCAGTTTTTTTCTTGGCCTACTCAAATTTGTTCTTCGCCTCTCAAGTCATTAGCCTTTTTTATTAAAAGTCATAATTTAAATATTGTTATTTAAATTATAACAAATAATTAGCAAATTATTGCTAATGCCTAAATGTTGCGTTCTAATGTTTTAAGAAAATATAACCCCCTGAGCGTCATCACGTTCCTACGTTGCTTCAAATATAGTCCTGTTTATTGGCTGAACAATTTTGTCCAATAAGCTGCATGATCATATCACACAGCGTGAAGCTCGTTCCCGAGAACAACCAGCTCTTCCTCGTCTTAAAGATTGACAACGCTCTCAAAACATTCACAACAGAGCAGCCTTTTTCATTTTAGTTTTAAGAAAGTTCAACGTGAACTTTGTGAGGTAGAGTAGCCAGAGGCCCGGGCCCGTAGGTCCCAGAGGAGGAGAGCGCGGTCTGGCCAGGCTCGCCTCGCACTGATGAGGTAAACTCTAGGCCTGTGTGAGACACACTGTGGGCCTCATGTATGAAACCTGCGTATGGCCAAATCAGGGTAAATGAGGCGTACGCAAAATATTACACTTTTCCGCATTTATCTATCTGGACGTGAGCGTACAATACGCAAAAAATATACGCCAGGTCTGGAGCTGGTGTAAATCTATACGCTGATCTCAACCTTCGGCACAACACGCCAAAACACGCATGAAATTCAAGATATGTACAACAATAAACATATTCCCTCTGGCAAAATTATATGCTGTGTTTTCATTGAGGATCATCACAATTTGAATTTGCGCATCAGAAAAAGTCTAATGGAAACACGCAAACTTCGAATAAATCACAGCTCATGATGAGGACCCTCTATTAAATCTGACTTGTGTGTGTATTATTTTGACCTGTATGTTTTTAAAATGTGAAGCGCTTTGTGATCCTGGACAGTGAAAGGCTCTATATAAATACACTTTACGCAACAGGGATGTGTGACCCGTCTATTGCTGTGGCTGCAGGCTCTGCGCTGCGTAATTACGCACGGCTATTTGTATTCCTCATTCACATCTGGTAAAGCAATGTGTTATTTCATTAGATTTGTGTAAGCCTCACACAGACACACACCCCAATAACGCATCGATGGTATTGCTCACTCACAAATGTCTCACTGCCCTGTCCAGAGTGCGCAGCGAGTGCCGTGAGAGGTCGCGCCACATGTGCAGAAGTTTTGGCTCCAGAGTTTCTTTGTGAAATCTGGACCGCAAACGCTCTCTGAAGTGTACAGCGCTTCAATGCGCACTTCTACCCCGAGCCAGGCTGCGTCCAAGACGCTGCAGACGCTTCATTCATGAGAGCCACTGCTGCATAATATATATGAATTAATTAATTAATTCAATCAATCTATATTTATTCACTTCTACAATTCAAGAAAGATTTTTCTAATGTTTCAAAACATGTTTGCAAATTTGTTAAACGCAGCTGAATATATAGCGCATATTTATTATTACATAAACATGAACAAACAAACGTGCCTTTCAATTCAATCAATCTATATTTATTCACTTCTACAATTCAAGAAAGATTTTTCTAATGTATCAAAACATTTTTGCAAATTTATTCAAAACGCAGCTGAATATATAGCGCATATTTATTATTACATAAACATGAACAAACAAACGTGCCTTTTGAGGCTTCCAAACAGTCTTTTTGGCCGGCTTCCTGCTGACCTGTCACGAAGACGTGGCGTGAAACACGCGATTGCTGCATAATTCTAGGCGTGACTAAATACGTTCGTATTCAGCCGATTTATCAACATCCGCAGCTGCGTACGCTCAGAACTGGGCGGATCTCACACGTTCATAAATCCGACGTTGGATTTTGCGTAAATGGAATATACACCCAAAATGTACATCTTTTTCTACGCAAGTTTCATAAATGAGCTTGTGTGTATGTGTGTGCTTGCGTGCGTGTGTGCGTTTGAACCATATTCTTTGAAACCCCAATTCCAGCTAGCCCTTGTAGTTTGCAAGCGAATTTGGCCTACTTACTAATCTGGCGCCGCTACTGCTTCCATCCATGTTTTCTCATTGAGCTTAAAAAGAGGAACAAGGACAAACTATGTGAGTATAGTTTAAGTCAGGTTGTTATCACATTACTTTAAAAGACTGCTTTGTTTTAGATGAAGGTGATGAAGAGCTGATAATTCATGTGTGTGTCTGTTACTTTTTGACCAGTGAGGAGTTCAGACAGTGGAGAGGCAGAGTGGAGGAGGAGGGTTATACACGTGTTCATATTGAACACAAGTAAATCATCACGTGAACATTCCATGTGTCCCTCCTCCCAATCCAATGCATTGTTGTCTTATTCAGGACAGACAACAGTGGCCAGTAGGGTTTAATATTTTTCCCGAAAATGAGACGTATCAAATCCCGGGAAAAGACGACGCCTTTCCCGGGAAATACCGGGAAATAGCTGTTGTTTGTAGTTGTTGTTTTTAGCCCAAGTAATGTATGATATCACTCAAATATATAATCCAACAAAAGCTGCCGTCTCCACTAGTGTCAGGGATGAAGCAGACAGAGACGGATCGTGGTGTGCCAAACTCTGGAAGTTTATTTAAGTTTCTCTCAAGTTCCACTGGTTTACTCTGTTTCTTTCTCTCAGACAGAATAAAGGCAGTACACAGTTTATATAGTCATTGTCACGTCACACATGGAAAGACATACGTGTCACAAAGAGACAGTCACATCAGAGTCATAACATGGAGTCCTTGTAGAGTCCTTGTACAGTCCTGCACGTAGGCTATATTGCTATCTAATACTAACACTAGTGTTTCACCAAGCGACTTGCTAGCTTTTCTAAAGTAGCCATAGCGTTTTCAGACGTTTTGTCAATGGGCTTTCTTCAGGAATTTCACTATTATGAGATTCTAAATGTCTGCGCAATCCACTTGTCGACCAGTGACGTGCGGTGTGGTTTGGAGGCACTGACTTCAGCCCAATCAGATGAACATATATCATATAAATCAACAGAACCTACAGAGCGGCTTATTCACAATTAGTTTTTGCTACAGCAGAATGTTTTCCATGGCCCGCATTGTTTGCTCATACAAAATGCAAACGTTCGTAAAAGGCACATTTCCAATTGTGTTATGGGTCTTACCTTAGTTATTAATGAACAGCACAGACCACTTCAGTTCAGACCAGTTTCATGTTTAAGTCCAGATACTAGTTTGAGCGCAGATTCTCGAGGTCGGACATCCGGGAACTTGGACTCCCATAATGCACTGCGCGCGCATAGCAACGCGGCGAAGGGTAAAACAAACCAGCGCCCGCCATTAAGCAACACGAAGCGAAAGACAAACGAGCGTTACAAAACATGCCGAAAAACTGTTGTATTGTTGGTTGTACCAACAACAGCGTAAAAAGGAGTGACCTATCCTTTTACATGATCCCTAGCGAGGCAACTGAGCCAGAAAGGAGAGAGAAATGGCTCCAGCTGGCTTGGAGCTACTCAGTGGGAATCTTTAGATTTTGTCACTTTGCTCCTTGAACAGGAAAGAAGAACAACAACCCCGCATACCCAGATTACACTCCGTCCATTTTCCCGCAAGCAGTGCTGAAGGAATTGACTAAGAGTACCACACTTGATCGCTTCAAGAGAGCACAGAAAAGAAAAGGTAAGTTTGCTACCCACAGTACCCTATCGTTAACAGAAAAAAAACCATCAAACTGTAGTGTGATCAACATGCATCTAGTTTGCTCCTAGATCAATGACCAAAAATTATCTGAATTTGTTTGACACAACACTTGAAATTTAAAACTAACAAATTGCAGTCGATTTTGTTTATGCAGACATATATATAGTAGCAAATTGTGTTTATTGGTGTACACTACAGACATCATTCTAATCCACTGTTTGTAGAGTTGGAAGAACTCAAACTGCTGGATGTGATCAACTTTAAAACTGCTCAAACTATGTTCAGGGCATCTCAAAACTCTCTGCCTCCTAAAGTTCAAAACTTATTCCACGATAGACACGATTGTCATAGTTACAAACTTAGAGGAAACCAAATTAAATATCTACCTACATTTAGAACTACTCTAAAGTCAATGTGTATCTCAGTGCGGGGAGTGAAACTTTGGAATAACTTGCCGAATGAATTAAAAAACTGCTCAAGCATAATTCATTTCAAACAGTTGTTTAAAAAAAATGTTTTAAAAAAATATAAAGAGGAAGGAGAGTGATGCCCTCAACATGAAGTAAAGGGGTGAGGGTGTAGGGTCAGAGAGTGTTTGGGCCTGTGTCTGTGAGGTGTTGTGTGTATCTGTGGTGTGTTGTGTGTGTGTGTGTGTTGTCTTGTTTTGTCCTGTCTCCGTAGTCATGTCATGTATTAGTTCATTCTATGTACGGTATAAGTTTCCAGCTGTTTACGAATGATCCTGTATGTATAAGGTTCTTGTACTGTACTTTGTGTTGAATGTGTGAGGGGGTTGGAATTCAATAAGCATTTGCTTCATCCACCTCCTTTTCAAAACCATGCACCTGTATATTTGACTGTTATGTTGATTTTTGAGATGATGTTTGTGCAGGTTTTGAAATAAATAATATCTATCTATCTATCTATTGCTCTTATTTTACACTGCAGTAAAACCGTACCTGCAGATAATGAGCTGCATTTCCAATGCACAGTTAAGAATTAAAAGATTCCATATTGCAATGAGGTTGTGAACAACAATTGATACAAGCACCTTGTGAAATAGAATGTTGTCCCCCATATGAAATACATAAATAAAAAATACATGTTGATTTCTAATGACCAATTTGAAAAAGTAGTACTTGGGAGGTTAACTGCTACAAAAATGGTAATCTGTGTAAAAATACAGATTTTGCTAACAAATGTATTTTCCTTGAAAACAAAATTACCTCCTGTATGAAAAAGTCATTGCATCTACAAAGTAACTAGTCATGCAGATTTTTGTACATAATGCCTAGCCTGGAAATTCTTGGTAAGATGGTATTTATAGTACAAAACTAGTCTACTGGTCGCTGCTTTCTAGTCATAGTCGACTATTATGACTTATCGTCCCAATCCAACTCAATACTAAATATACTGCCGTTTAGTAACACCAGGAAGCCGAGTGAGTGAGTGGTTGGTGGTGGTCGGAGGGGCCGATGGCGCAGACTGGTCGCCTCGCTTCAGTCAGTCTACCCCAGGGCAGCTGTGGCTATAATAGTTGCTTACCACCACCAAGTATGGAGTGAATGAATAGTGCAATGTTAAGCGTCTTTGAGTGTCCAGAAAAGCACTACATAAAACTGATGCATTATTATTATTATTATAAAATATGAGGCCATGACTTAAAATTTCTGTGATCATTTGCAAAATATATACCTTTTATCTATTTTTTTTCAGCACCATCCACTACTCTAGTATCACGAAAGGAAAGGAAGGTGAAGAAGCAACTGGAATTTGAGGAGACAAGTGTCCCAGAAGAGTTGCAACAAGAAGTGTCAACACCCTGCATGGAAATGCAAGACCTGCAGCAGACGGAATTAGGCATTGACAAAATCAGCAATGATTCGGTCTCCACCATCATAATACTAAATACACCTGAAACAAAAGAAAATGAAGAAAGGGAAATAATTTTATTTTTATACATTAACATATCACATCTAGGAGAGTGACAATTGACCAGAGCAAAAACACTGACAAATTGCAAGTAAATGATACAAATGTTTTCATGTCAATCTTCACGTCTTTTAGTATTTCTACTTATACAATGTCTAATAAACTATTTCTCATTAGAAATGTTAAAGTCTTGCTGTTGTCGTTAGACACTACATATATAATATAATAAAATGTAATCTGATGACTGGTTATTGCAAAAAATAACCGGTCATAAAAAGTGTGAATAGAGGGTATGCCATTTTACTTTAAAATTTAAATAGAAATGTAATCTCAAATGAATGGACACATTGAGGGGCAAATCAAAGAATAACAAAATAATACCAATGCCATGCCACTGTTTTCTGTTGCTATGTTATGACATCGCTATGCATAATGGTCGGCAGCTCTACACCGATAAGCAACAATGAAATGCACTAGTTGTGTGGGGAATAAGTGGAATTTCTGCAGTTAGCCTTTTTTGGCTTTTGAAAAAAACTGTGTCCCTCACTTACACTGTACAAGCTGTGCCACTGACAGACTGAGCTCATTACAGCCACATTGTAACAGAATGCTTTTGAATGTCATAACATAGTTAATGTTATCGATGCTTGATGGGTATTTAAATATTACTACAAGTGTAGGACACCTGGTATGTACACATGGTGTTCATACCAGGGGACTTGATGAGGTAATTGTATATGTCTGGATACTCGAGCCTGGGCCATGCCTTTGGGTTGTTTTCCCAGGACTCTGCTGGATGCCGATAGGGACAAGATTGTAAACCTACAAGCGACAGCTTTCTGTGGTACCTTAGCCTGGCCTTTGCCATCCGTAAACTCCGGTCAAATCTTTTTTTCCCGGGATGTACCCTCTGTACGAAACAAGTACGAGGGTATGGTAAAACCAGGCTAGTGGTACCTGGTCAATGCAGGCGCTAGGAGACTGTCAATATACTGATATGACATGCTGCAATAGAAGAAGAAGATCTGTATTCATATAGTGCCTTTCACAGACATGTAGCTAGTCACAAAGCGCTTTACATGAGTGTTTAATCTCACATGTATGGAGTGAATGTAAACTAAAACTGGCGATTATAAGTGTAAAACTACAACTGAAAAAGGTGGTCCTGTTGTGGCTTAAGGTGCAAGAACAAGAGGAATGACATTTGCGTTAATAAAATAAGGTTTATCTGATATTTCCAACAACAGTTAGACATTTCTTTATTGTTACTATGACAACAGCTACAATGGAAATAGATAGGAATTTAGATTCCTGCCTCCAGCTAAGCAAGCCCTGAATGTTTACACCACCAACATACATTCGCATACACAGATATCATTCATCAATAATTCAAAGTTGTCCGTTAGTATCCATAACTGACATAATCCACGGCTAACATATGTAAATAGATACCTTTTGGATTCGCCTTCGGTTTGTTTTACCCTTCAAACATGGCGGCGGTTGGTTGCTACGCAGGTCACATGATTCGTGACGTAACGCCGACCTCGAGAATATGTAATCCCCCATTTGGAAATAAGCCCAAAGAGTTTTAAAGCGTAAAACAAAACGGGTGCCACCTCCATAAACTCCTGTGTGTTTTCGCTGCAGCCGGCTCTCGGGCGCATCCAATTTCTAATATCAACCTTCTTACCCTTCTCCTCTCTTCCTTATCATTCCTATCGTCATTGGAAGCAGAACATTACCCTAAATGCATTTTATATTATCTTAAAATGTGTTATATGTATGTTAGCCAAACCTGTTGCTGCCCTTAGCAGATGGAAAAAAAGAAAGGAGCTTTCTGATAGAATTGAATGTAGCCGAATTCTGGGATCACATGTGCCCCGTACCGTACCCCGAGGCTGGCCTCATTACAAGTCGTGGTTTAGCAAGATTAAGACCCATATTTGTTGTCAAAAACACAATTTATGAGCCATCCTCTCAGCTGTAGACATGTTGATTGTAAATGAAATATGTTTGAACTTTGAACAATGCTCTATAATAGGAGCGCATTGGATTTTTTTTTTTATTTCCCGTTTCCCGTCATAACATTTCCCGGGAATCGGGAAATAGTTTTGATCAGATTTCCCGGGGAATCCCGTGTCCCGGGATTAAACCCTAGTGGCCAGGTGTCACAAAAACATATAACAGATAAGATGCCACAGGGCAGAACCAAAAAATACACCAGAGGGAAAACCAGAGTATACAAAGTGCCAGAACAGATGCCACAAAGCAGCTCTGAGACCGATAGAAGTGACCAGAGCCATGTGAGACAGTGGAGAGTTAGAGTAGAGGAAGAGGGTTCAGCCCATTTGTTTCTATCAAATACAGGTAAATCATAATCTGTGCAGTTTTGTGTCCCTCCTCTTAATTGTATTTTTGTACTATTCATTTGGACGCATCAGATGCCAGCCAAGGTCCCAGAAAAAGGCCAGATGCCGGGTCAGATGTTGGAATAAATGAAAGATTCCTGACCAGAATCAAAACACATGCCATTTCAGATGCTACGAATCTGACAGATGCCCGAAAGACACTACATAAGTGACACAAGCCATAACAGATTCCAGTCCGGACATCACAAAACATACGACAGAGCAGAAGCTATAAAAGGCCAGATGGAAAACCAGGTGTCAAAAAAGACCATATGTAAGTAAAAAGTCAGATATCAGATGCACCAAATGCCAGAAGGTATAGACCAGATGTTACTTCAAATATTTGTCCCATCAGAGGTAAATACTTACTAGACTAAATATGACAAGAAATGACAAATGCCGGCCCAGACGTCACAAACCAGGTGTGAGACAGATGGAAGTGACCAGAGCAGTGTGAGACAGAGTGGAGGAGGAGGGTTGTATCCATGTGTTCATATCAAATACAGGTAAATCATCATATGTGCCGTTTTTTGTGTCCCTCATCCTCTTCATTGTCGTTTGGTCTAATTCACAGCAGATACCAGAACAATGCCTGACGGGATGGTGCAAAACAGGTGCTAATCTGAAAGTCACAAAAAATGTAAAACTAGATACCTGGAAAATGGATGCAAGACCCAGATGCCAGTAAAATGTCTGATACCAGAGAAGTTCCCCCAAATACCAGAATACCATTTGCAAATAAATGGCAACTGAACTGAATCTGAATCTGAATCAGAAGGAAGATCTGATGTTACTTAACACAGTTGCCCGACCGGAGGCCTCCCAGATGCCACCAAAGACCAGCTGAATGACCAGATGTTACAAGCAGTGATGGGAATAACGGCGTTACTAGTAACGGCGTTACTAACGCCGTTACTTTTTTCAGTAACGAGTAATCTAACTAATTACTTTGACAGTAACTATAACGCCGTTATCATTTCCGACATCCCGTTACTGCGCGTTACTCAAGACGCACAATGAACGTGTTGTCATGAGAGAAGGGAGGATGAGAAAACCTCTCAGCAATTATTGGCTGATGTAAATCATATTTCCTTTACAATCTACATGTCTACAGTTGAGAGGATGGCTCATAAATTGTGTTTTTGAAACAAATATGGGTCTTAATCGCGCTCAACCACGGCTTGTATCACCGTGAGGTCAGCCACAGAGTAGCGCATGTGAGCGCAGAAGTCGGCTGCATACAATTCCATCGATAAGCTCCTTGCTCTTCCTGGTTTATCTGCTAAGGACAGCAACAGGTTTGGCTAACATACATATAATACATTTTTACATAATCTAAAATGCACATAGGGTAATTTTTCAATTACTATAGGAATGATAAGAAAGAGAGGTGAAGTGTAAGACGGTTGATTTTAGAAATTGGATGCAGCCGGCTGCAGCAAAACAGAGGAGTTTACGGAGGACACACGCGTTTTGTTTTACTTTTTAAAACTCATTGGACTCATTTCCAAATGGAGGATTACATATCTACGCTCAAACCATTCACTGGATTTAAACAAGGAACTGGTCTGAACCGAAGTGGACTGTGCAGGTCATTTATAAGGTATAGCTATAAGGTAAGACCCATAACTCATAGTTTTGCGTTTATATGAACAAACAATGCGGGCATAAAACATATTTTGCTGTAGCCAAACAAATTGTCCACTTGATTTATATGATGTATATGTTCACCTGATTGGACTGAAGTCAGTGCTTCACCAGCCTCACCGCTCGTCACCGGTGTTTCCACATTCACAGTGGCGGGCTTTACAGCACAGACAGAGATGAAGAGTGAACAGGACTTCAGCAGCAAAACAGCCTTTTCTAGATGGAAATATTGGCACTGTTAAAGGTAAAAATGCGCACGTCGGGTGCACATTATGTTCCAGAACAAAACGAAAAAGTAACGCAATAGTTACTTTTACTGGTAACTAGTTACTTTTATAGTGGAGTAACTCCGTTAGTAACTCAGTTACTTTTTGGCAGAAGTAACTAATAACTATAACTAATTACTTTTTCAAAGTAACGTGCCCAACACTGGTTACAAGAAATGAAAAATGCTGGACCAGTCGTCACAAACCAGCTGTGAGACAGATACAAGTGTGGGACAGTGGAGAGACAGAGTGGAGGAGGAGGGTTGTGTGTGTTCTCATCAAATACAGGTAAATCATCATATGGACTTATTAATGTGTTGCTCCTCCCTCTTCATTGCATTTTTGTCTTATTCATTTGGACACATAAGATAAAATACAAGCTCCCAGAAAAATGCTGGACCAGTTGCTGAAAAACTTGAAAGATGCCAGACCAAGTGTCACTAGAGATCCAGGGGGCTGCTGGTGGCTGAGTGGATAGCAAGAAGGTCCATGGGTTCAAACCCTGCTCGGCCTTTCCCTCCGGGTGCTCCAGTTTGTCCTGCACTAAAAACATGTCCTAACCAAGTTGAGCATCACCATCTGAGCTAGTTTTCAACAATTTTGACTTTTATTCTAATAAAGCAAACATGCTAACTTGATTTTCTTCTCTTTCTTTCTTGGGGCAGCGACAAAGTAATGTAACTAATGTAAAATACATTTTCAAAGTACTGTAACTTATCCAACATTGATGTTTATAAAATATTGGTTCAAATCTACAGTTTCTAAAACATGCCCATGCAGGAGACTGACACATGATGTCTTTGAACCAGATCTAACATTTCTCCACTCTGGAACGAATAAAAGATCTTTTTCTTTCTTTCAATTTTTTAAATGGTTTTTAAGAGTTTTACAGAACAAGAGCATCATATTAATATTGTAAAAATACACCAATCATAAGCTATAACAGAAACAATAATACAGTAGACCCCCCCCCCAGCTACACCTTTTGGCTGCAACATTAACACAGTGTGAGTGAAAGAATAATGACATGCTGATCATTATTATTATTATCATTATAACAACCATTCTATTCTGCATGTCTGCGGCTACTCCATCTCTGTGACCACTCCTGCTCCACCCAGAGGCTCCACCTCCACTGCTGCTGTGACCCATCCTTCGTTCCTTTGGCTGTCAGATTGTACAACAAACCTGGATGAGTCTTCCTCTGCTGGACACCTGAATTTCTCCTACATGGGATCAATAAAGTATCTATCAATCTATCTAGAATGATCAATTCATTTATTTTGTTTGTGTGGATGGATATGTTTTTGCTGCTACTGGACACCTGAAATTCTCCTACGGGGATTAGTAAAGTGTCTAACTGACTAACTAACTAATGTAAAAATCCAGACTAAAATTTTAACATGTCAATGGAACTTTTTACAGTTTTAGGAAAACTCAAACGTGTGTGACCTAGATGAGGCGAGCGTTTCCCCTCAATGCGACCCACTTTCGAGCGGCCCACATCAAAGCTGCAGTTTCACACAGGAATACTGCACTGAATTAGAAATATGCCCCCGCCTCTTAAGAGAAGGGGTGTATAGACCACTACCAGAAATGTGTTATAGAAAGTTCAAGTTGTTTTTGAGTCTTTGTATGAACTTGAGGCACCTAACTTTCAAACTACAATAATTGACTATTAACTATTAACCAAGTGTGCCGTTTTCTGCGACACATTGGGATATTGTCATCTTGTGGAAGTACGGACGTTTGGATCTTGTGTATGCGCTCCCTGTCCCCTCCTGTGTGTGGCAGGGGGCGTGGCCTGCTACACCTGTGCTCCAGACGAGGCACACCTGCACCTCATCCATGGATCTATATTAATCTCTGGATAGGCTACACAGAAAAAAGTCCCATGGAACTCAATAGCCGTGTTTCCACTGCAGGAGTTCCAGGTAAAAGGAGCGGGGTGAAACTTTTACAGGAACTTTCCTCTCCCTCGGTCCTCTCAGTGTCCGTGTCTCCACTGCAGAGTAGGACCACTCGGCGACGTCATGTGTTTCAATTGCCGCATAAGCCAAACTCATTACGCCAAACCCGTTATTATTATAGATCCATGCACCAAACCCATCTGTTTGTTTTACGGTCGTAACCGCTCCGGTTGTTGTGGTCTTTGGGTTTTTTATAGTCTTTTCACGGCTTGTTTTAGAGTTTGATGAATCCTCAGTTTTAGCGCTTTTTTGGACACTCAAAGACGCTTTACATGTCATTATTCATTCACTCCATACATAGAGGTGATAAACTACTACTGTAGCCACAGCTGCCCTGGGGCACACTGACAGAAGTGAGGCAACCAGTATGTGTCATTGGCCCCTCCGACCACCACCAGCCATTCACACACACACCAGACTCATTCTAAGCAATGGGGGTGAAGGTGTTCCCAGAGGTTAAGTGTCTTGCCAAGGACACAACGACAGCAGACATCAGTGGGAGTTGGTGTAGAAAGTCTTATGGTGGGCTCGAACCCACGACCTTCTGGCCCAAAGGCCAATGCTCTACCAACTGATTTAGGGGTTTGCTGGTTGAGGGAAGACTTGACCACGCAGTGTCATTTCCCCAGTTTGGGAATACTAATGTTTTTTCACAGTGGAGAAATTCACTATTGCAGCTCGTTTGGTCACACAAGAGGCTCACAAGAGGCTCACAACAGAACCACCTCAGTCCCGCCACTTTGGAGAAACTATTCTTAAGTTAAAAAAGAGGAATAATATACAAAGGTTTTAACACTCTTTCTATGCATGTGCATATTCCTTTCTAATACTGTTTCCTCCCCAGTTCTTGGTCTCCCAGCTTCCACTGCTACTGTGGAAGCAGGCCAATAAATCATTGTATAGCACAGTTCATACAAAATGCAGCTCAAAGTGCTTCACGTTGACAACATTTAAAAACATCTATCAGCAAATTGAAACACACACACACACGTTCAAAAGCAGAGCCGGAAAGGCGCATACATATATGGTACCAGCAAAAGATGCAACTGATGCGACGCATACAGAGTTTTAGCAATTGCTAATTCTCAACTCCTGTCCCTGTTTGAGCTTTTCCCTATATCAGAGGTGTCCAAACATTTTATTAGTTCACCAGACTAGTCCAGGTGCCAATAACCCAGATTTTATAACTGTTTTGACAGATTTAGGCCGTCTATGACAGAGTTGAAGTAATGACAAATTTCAGCTACATTAGTGTTTTATGAACATTTAGTGTTCCTACTGCGCTGTAACTTGTGATGCAACACTGAAATTTCCCTGCTGTGAGGTGAATAAAGAATCTGTTAAAGGAGCAGTATGTAAAAATCTGGGTTAGGGTTAGCAACCTCCCCCAAATTTGTCTGCCAAATTTGCAGACAAATCCATCTGGGGCCATAATTAATGAATAGGCAAAAGTTTTTTGAACAACAAATCTATAACCAACTCCTTTTTCACAAAGGCCCCGATAGAAAACCTTGTTTTGTTATGAATGATTTTAGAATCATAATGAGACCTTTTTTAGTACAGCGGCCACATGTTACTTCACCAGTGAGATTAGCTTGACGAGTTGAGTTTTGGCAACCCGGATCACGTTCTTTCTTATTGGTTAAACGGTGGAGGGTGGGACATCGAAGAGAAAACAATAACAAGATTTAGGGGCTGTAAAACTAATATTGAAATTCCAACATCTCGGCTGAAAAACTGTTTTCAGTTAAAGAAGTATTTGAAAAAAGCATTGTTTATTCATGCCTTTTGATGTATGAGGGCCATTTAATGATGACACATGAAACTCTAATCTCTTATCAACATTTATGGACCTTGGTCATCTACCCCTTATGAACAGACATACAGTATAACAAGTTCATGGTTCGAAAGGTTGTGACACGTCTGCTCTACATACACAGTACAGGAGATTTTCTCTACATATACATTTTCCTCTATGAGCACTTCTCTATTAGCCTTGCTCTGCCAGACCCTTGTAGTTCCGCCATGCTCCACCAGAGGCGTTTGGCTGAACCACATGGTGTAAAGTGCAGCGAACTACATGGGTCTGGCGAGAGTCAGGCTACTTCTCTATAGGGCTTCATTAAGGCAGTGGGTTACCATTGTCCATCTGCATACAATTACAGATATAGTATACAAAGTCCCAATACTCTGCTGCTAATTCTACTGCCAGGCCTTTGAACTGGCAGACCAATGAAAAGGTGAGGAGGCTTCTAATAAAACTATAATAAAACAGTAAAATAGTAAATAATCCTTTTTGTTACACTTAAAACAGTATAAAATAGAGCTTGTCCGACTGCCGAATAGTGTACCGTCATACTGAAATGACGCATGTGTGTGTGGTGTGTTGTGCAAAGGATCAGGTCTGGCTCAGTTGTGGGATTTCTCAGAGGGCGTGGCTTCAGCGTTCACTTCCCCTGTTCCCGACATGAGTAAGCATGTCTTCAGAAGTGAACCACTCCTCTTGTGTTCAGGTCTGAGGCAGCATGCTCAGTGGGGAGACTAGGAGCCTCCTCAGTGGGATATTAAGGACTGAGATGGGGACATGGATCATGCTGGCTCTGCTGCTCTCCCATACCCTCGCTCACAGTGAGTACACACACCTGGTGGGTCCCTTTGACAGGGCCGTTCAGAATGGGACCCATAGACATAATCTTTTTTTACTGGGACTACTTTAAGTAATACAAAACAGTCAATAGAAAACAAACAACTCTTTTAAAGGAATTTTATTTTAGATTTTTTTTTTGAATTGCAGTGATTCTATTTTTGACATAGAATTTAATGCCACTCCATGTCCGATGTCTAAGGTCATCTGGTGAGGCATTAATGCAGGCCAGGCAGTGAGACTTCCCAGGGACTTTTCCAGTCTGTATGAAAGGCGTCATGGTCTTCTCCACAGCCTTCACCTCAGATGCAGACCATGGCTTTCTTACACGTTCTAGGGAGAGAAATAAAAATATATTAGCAATATACACTCCCAGGGTTAGGACCAAGCAGCCTGGCTGTAATCCCCCACCTGGTACACTTACCAGAAGGGGCACTGCCACTACCATGGGGTGCATCTGGATGAATGGTTGAAGGTTCTCCGCTTGAAGTTTCTTTTAGCCCGTCCGTTTGTGAGAGGATCTCTACTGCTCTCCCTGTCGCACAGAAAATAAAAATACAAGTGGCCTTTAGGGGAAAAAAATTATATTCAGGCTCAATTTGTATCTGGATGAGGCTCTTTCCTTCGAATTCCGTCACTCTTCCCTGCTCCATGGCCATCAACACTTTGCTGATTTTGGCCAGCTCCAGTGTCCCCTCTGGTAGTCTGTAATATTGTCTGTGGATGCGAATGTCATGGCCGAGGAAGTTGGCTAGTATATCCATTTCATTCTCTTTCATATTGAGAACTGTAGACATAGTAGCTATGTGCTTTCTAAGTTTGGTTGAGGATAGCATCTCTGGATGCACCGCACCACATTCTTTGGCTACCTGCCGTAGAGAGTCTGATCCCCTGATGTGGGTGTCTGCGCCCGGGCGGGAGAAGAAGTATGGGTTATGGTCAGAGATGGAACAGGCCCTTCTGTTCTCCACCAGCACCTCCATCGAAGCAATCATTTCAGGAGTCAAAAGAACCGGCACTTTCCGACTTCTTTTCCCTTTAATTTCAATGCGTTGAAAATGCTGACACAGCTTTTTCTCAAGTTCGGACAGTCCCAGAGCAATGTCAGAATGGATCCCAGTCTTACTTCTTAAGGTAAACGCTGTCAGTGGCATCTTTGAAACCTCACCTTCCCTTCTTCGATTGAAAATAATGACCTCACAAAGAGTCAAAACTGCCAGTTTAGACCAATGCTTAGACGTTGGCTCACTTATTAGGGTTTGCACATATTCAGGTCGACATACCTCAATATGTGCATGCATGGCTCTAACGTCCTCAGTCAGAGGGAGCAGGTCCGGAGTGTTCCACTTGGCTTGCCGGAGGGTCTGTAGGGCAGCAGAAGAAACACAGACGTCCCACCTCTTCTCAAAAAGAGGTGGGACGTATCTGCTAGCTTTCTGAGGCTATGGCCGAGTTTGAGGGCCAAGGATGGAGTCTTGTATTGATTTGTTTCCTCATCATATCCAGCCACAGACCTGACTGCATCAATCACATGGTTAAAGTTGGAAGGAATAAAGAAATCCTTAATTTTTTTCAGTTTCCCTGCGGTTTTTGCTTCGTTAATTAACCTACCGACTTCTCATTTTCTGCCTAATGTAATCATGCTTAGTCTTATCATGCCCGTGTTTTAAGTACAGGTGCTCTCCGAGTCTCAGAATCCCCTTTTCTGCTTTGACAACACCCGTGACCTCATCCTGATGCATTGCCCAAATTAAAGAGCACAGCTTTTTGCTGAGGCCCTCCGGTACAGGCTGGGCTAGGGAGCAGAGGGACTGGACCCTACTTCTACCTGGTTTAGCCTGGGCATCTTTCTGTGAAAGCCGGGACCTGGCCACATGCCTCCACAGCGACTTTCGCTTAAGCAATGCCCCACAGTCTATACTGTGCAAAAACTCACTGGATTTAACTGGGGAATTTGGCTGTTTAGCTGGGACTAAAGTTCCAATGCCGGCCTTTAAAACCTCAAAATTGTGCTCACGGTTTCCACTATTCCTGATCAAATCAAACTGAAGTTTACGTGCTTTAGATTTCACAGGTAGAGCCAATGCTCTGGCTACGTCACTTTCATTTCCATGTTTTCTAGTCAAATGACGGGACATTTTGTGGCAGGACATTGAACAGTAGAGGCAGAAGTGTCTCTTGCTGTAAACTCGCCCCCCATTTTTCTTCTTTTGCAGCTGCATGATAACAATCTTATTTGCCTTTGGTTCGTCACTTTCCAAGTCTTGAAGAAAAGTGTTTTTGATTTTTCTTTTTCCATACTTTTTTACAGGTTTCTTCTTGACAGTTAAATCGTCAGAATCTGAGTCGACTTCATCAATTAGGGACTCTTGACTAAGCTGCACAAACAACAAATAATTTGTAATAATTCTATATAACAATTTGAAGTCATGACTTGTAGTCAGCACTTACCAGTGGTTTGTAAGTGTGCGCTTCAGTGTGCTCCTCCATGATTTCTTGCAGCCTAATGAACCACACACTTGCACCTTTTCTAGCCTGACACCTGATTTCCTCTGTTGTGCTGCTCCATGATTGGCTCCAGCCTGCTGGACTGAAATTGCCCCAGTGTGGCCCTCCTTGATATTCCGCAACCCACCACCAGGGTTCCGACAGAGAACACACTTTTTTCAGGAAAGTAAACCTCCAGGGGTCCTTTCCATATTTTTACAGAGACTGCGGACCGTTAGAAAAGCATTACCCATTGATTATTAAGCTTGGACCAGTGGGGTCCGGTGTTCGGGCCCCACCACGTAAAACCAGTCCCCATGACGTGAGTGGAAGCTCAGGTTATGGAACCCACCAGGACTTGAAAACAAGTACACACACACACACGCACACGCACACGCACACACACACACTGGATTATGCTTGTCGGAAGTACAGTGCAATGCTGTGAGGTTCTTAATTCTTGAATGGAACTATTCAAATAATAACTCTTCTGGCCTCTGGAAAAGTCATGTTCCAGCTTCTTACAAGATGTTGAGATGCAGGACATCTGGATATGCTAAAAGTTTCTTTCCATAAGCTTTTATCAGTTTGTACAAGTCTATTTGAATACTTCTTTAACTGAAGTTCAAACGGGATATTCATCCATCCATCCATTTTCTTCCCCTTAATCCATTTCTGGGTCGGGTGGCAGTCAGCTGCACCCAGTACACTTAGCACCAGCCCCTCACTGATCCTCCTGCAGGTGGTGAGTCCACAGGAGCTGAGATCTTTCAGCGGAGGCTTCAGGCAAAGTGGGGTTAAGTGTCTTGCCCAAGGACACAACGACAGCAGTCATCAGTGGGAGTCGTGAAGTAGGTCTTATGGTGGGCTTGAACCTTCGACCTTCAGGCCCAAAGGCCAATGCTACACAAGCTACTGTCGCCCGCACGGGATATTCAAATTTCAAAATTAGTTTTACAGCCCGCAAATTTTGAAATTGTTTTAATATTGAAGAGAAGGAAGACAGGATAACGAGAATGGATCTATGATAATAACGATAGCAGAGACAGCATGGACATAACAAAGTCCTAACAAATGCCCATATGAGGAAATTGGCTCCAGCTTGATTAACCGACCAATCAATGTTCTCACCCACAGTTCTAGTCATGAGCTTTGGGAAATTACAGAAAAGGAAGGGATTGTGAAAACAAGCAGTTATCATGCACCCTTAGTGAGGGGAGCTCAGTCACACGAAAGGGGCTCAGAGTGGAGCTTCTCCATGTTGAGAGGAACCAGTTGAGGTGGATATGGCATCTGTTCCGGAGGCCTTCTGGATGCATGTCCCAGCAGGAGGAGACCAAGGGAAGACCCAGGACTCGATGGAGGAACTATGTCAGGATTCGTCCAGATGAGCTGGAGAAAGTGTGCGTGGAGAGGGATTTCTTGGTCTCTGTAAAAGCAGCTTCTTGACTAAAGACGCTGTTGTTGCCAGAGGAAGGGGAGAGCACAGACTGAACCACAAGGACAGAAGTGTGGAGGTCAGAGCTGCTGTTGCGACAGAGCTGACTGAGCAAAACAAAAACCACTTCACGCAATCTCACCAGAGATGCTTAATCCAGTCCACTCTTCTACTTTTGCTTTAAATTCCTGCTGATACTTCATTTGAACCAGTGAAGGGTAATAACTGGTTCCTACTGTTATTCTTGTAGTAATGAAACACCTGGTCCTTGGTCCTGAAGAGCACCTCATGCCATCATATTTCTTAAACATCTGGGTCCAACTGTCTTTTTTTTGCTCCTGTTTTTACTGTTTTTTCAAAGATAAAGCTTCATGAGATTCCAGAAAATAGTCTTCATAATCAAAATTGTGTTGTTACCATCATAAGTTACATGAAATTTCCTTGGGAAAAGGGTGCAAAAACAAATGGAACAACTCTTATTTGCAATATATACTGTAAATCATGGGTCTCCTACCTCTATCGGAGAGCTACTTTTATACAACAGAAGTGGAAGAGAGAACATGGAGAACATAGATGTAAAACATACTAAAATAATGTATAACCTGACCTTTGTACTTAAAATACATATATGTTGTGTGTAATATATATGTGTTGGGGCGGCAGTTTGACCTCGAGAGACAGTAACCAAGCTGTGCTGGAGAGAAGGATGAAGGCTCTAATGCAGGGCATCCTGGGTAATTCCAAACACCCTCTGCATGACACTATGGCCTCTCAGAGGAGTAACTGTAGCAACAGGCTTATATCAGTGTGCTGCCGAACAGAACCTTTGTACAACAGAGCTGTATGAGTTTAAAATATTCACTATTGTTACACTCAAAGAAATTATTCAGGTGGTTAGTATTTTGAACTCAAAATACATACTGAACTAAACTCAATAATTGATTTTTGCCAGTTTTACTTAAATTAGTGTGGTCGCAACTCATTTTAAACATGCCGGTCTCAATTAAAAGTTAATACAAGAATCCTAACTCATTTTTGTAACAAATTTGAATTTGATATTCTGGCATAACTGGACAACGGAGAAGTATTGAGTTACCCTTTTCATAAAACATGATTTACAGCAAAATAAAACCACAAGCCCCACCAAGTGTCTTGTTAAACCTCATCAGGACCATTATGAGTCAGGGCAGTTTCACAGCTTCATGTTTGCCCACTTTGATGAAATCCTTATCTGCACTTTTCATTTCCTGTGAATGGAACCTCTGTTTAATCAGGAAAGTCCCGGTGACTTTATGGGGTAATATGGTATACTGTATGTCTTTTGAGCATAGGGAAAACTGAAGCACTGGAGGACCACACGTAGACCATATGGGCTCTAAAAAAATTGTTTTTATGGGTGATAAATGAATGATGCTTGTTTATGATGTTCCGTTCTATCTTTCAGACCACCAGGGAGCGCCAGATCTGTACCACGTGAGCGAGGGCCAGTTTTTCATCCTTCCCTGTTGCCCGGCTGGTCAAAGAGCGGACGTGTACTGGAGCAGACGGGGTCAGGCTCTGGGGCTAGGACTGGACCGATACCAAGGTCAAAACCTGAGTCTGGACAAGGGTCAGAACCTGAGTCTGGACAAGGGTCAGAACCTGAGTCTGTACCAGGGTCAGAACCTGAGTCTGTACCAGGGTCTGGACCAGGCCGGGGTGGAGGTCCTGCAGGGGCGGCTCTGGTTCCAGCCTGTACAGAGGGCTCACAGCGGAGTGTACACCTGCCACTACAGGTCAGAACAAGTGGTAGTTCTTATGATATTATAGTATATCAGTATAGTTTCTTTTCCTATTTATTATTATTATGAAAGGTAATTTACAGTACGTCCGGAATTGTCCTGGTGATGAAGATGTAGTCAAACAAAAAAAACATACAGTAAAATAAACAAATAAAAGCAATAAAAACCCTAACCCATTAACAAAAACTTAAAAATTAGATTGTACATAGATGACTTATTCATATTTAACAATTCATAATAATAATAATGATAAATTATATGCTACAAGGGGCGACAGTGACTCAGTTGGTAGAGCATTGGCCTTTGACCTTGGAGCCTGAAGGTCGTGGGATCGAGCCCACCACAAGACCTACTTCACGACTCCCACTGATGACTGCTTTTGTTGTGTCCTTGGGCAAGACACGTAACCCCACTTTGCCTGAAGCCAATGCTGAATAATCAAGGCTCCTGTGGACTCACCACCTGCAAGAGGATCAGTGAGGATCAGTGCTGAGCAGCAGGAGATAAAGAGCAAAGAGAATGGGGCCCATAATTGATCCTTGAGGGACTCCACAGTGAAGAGTCTGTCATTAAGAACGAGTCATTAAAAACATTTAAGTGCAGTCTTCAGTCTAGACCTGGGACAGTGCAAAAGAAGCTGGTCAGACGACCTCAGTGCTCTGCCCGGAGTGCGCAAAGTAAGCAAATCAAAGTAAGCAAATCAGTAAGCAAATGATGGAGCCAGGTCGTGCACTGATTTATTTAGTATTAATAGGATTTTAAACTTAATTCTAAAAGCGACAGGAAGCCAATGTCAAGACGACAGCTCAGGAGTGATGTGCTCGTGTTGTCTGGTGCCGGTCAGCATCCGATCTTCTGCATTCTGTACTAGCTGCAGTCTGTGAACTGAGGACTGGTCAAGGCAGGTCAATGCAGAGAGTTACAATAGTCCAGCCATGTGGTTATTAGGGCATGGGCAACCTACTCAAGGTCACTTGGTGGAAGATAGCTCTTAACTTCAGTCAAAAGTCTCAACTGAAAAAAGCTGGCTTTGACACAAAGGGGCTTCCAGAGTTGGAGATTAAAAGAAGATCATTCAAAAGGTTCAACAGTGCAGTTTCTGTGCTGTGCAAGGATTTAAATCCTGTCCAAACACATATATTTATAATTACAAGTTTGGCTTTTCCCAGTGCTCTTGAACACTTTGGAAATGCATGTGCATGTTAAATACTTTGAAACTGAGCGCTTGTGTTTGTCTGTGTGTGTGTGCCTATGTGCATGTGTCTGTTCCTGTGTGCATGTGTATGTGTGTGTGTGTGTGTGTGTGTGTGTGTGTGTGTACGTGTGTGTCTGTGTATGTGTGTCCTCAGGTCCCAGAGTGGAATGGAGCACCAGGAACATATGGAGCTGTCCGTGTCCAGGGAGGAGTGTCCGTTAGCAGACGAGCGCAGGCCTCTGTCGCGGGGGGTAACTGGAGAAGTTCCGTGTCGATTCTACAACTACTACCGCCTCCTCAACATCAGCAGCTCCATGGCCGTGCGCTGGAAGAAGGTATCTAACACCTGTGCACTGTTTACAGTGACAAAATCAACTCAGTGATAAGTACCCGACACTCTGATGTAGTCTATAGAAGTTTGCCACAAATTGAGTAGAATTAACTCAACTGGGACCAAAAATGATCTGAAACAGAGTTAAATTCAACTCTATTGGCATCACATTAATACTTCTGAACTGTGTACCATCACCGGGGTTTCGACGGAAAATCTCAGCTTGTGGGAAGGCGAAGATTCAGTTGATCACTTTCATGACCAAAGCCGTGCTGCAACTGGCCAATTAAAAAAGACAATATAATCAACCATATATGTTCATTGAATTGAACTGTCCCAGTCAAATAAAAAAATAAATATAAATACAAACACAAAGCATCTCCATGTTCTCGCACCAAAGTTCATCTGAGACATGTTAGTGTTATATGAACACAGGAGCACAGGAACTGGCCACCTACTGGTGCCGAGAGTCAGGGCTAAACATGGGGAGGCAGCATATCAGATGTCTGCAGCTAAAATCTGGAACAGTCTTTCTGGAAATATGTAACAGGCTTCTTCAATGACAATCTTTAAATCCAGGTTAAAAACACTTCTGGTTTGCTGTGCATACAATTGAGGGATTTTATCATCTTTTGCCACAATTGCCTTGTGTATACTGTGCTATACAAATAACTTGGCCTTGCCTTGAAAGTGTTTTAATGTGTTCTGTCTCTACCTTCTTCTCTGAGCACAACCCGAGGCTAAAGCAGTGACGAGGGTCTCTTGTGCACAGGGCTGTGGTGCAGTGCACAGAGCAGGGGCCCCTGTGAGTCAGTCGGGCCCCAGTCTGTGGCTCCAGGAGGTCAGCAATGAGGATGCGGGGATATACACCTGCTTCATAGACCTCAGTGTGGGGGGACTCAACCACAGCGTCGCCTGGAGTGTGGAGGTCACAATCACCAACAGTATGATCTATTACTATTACTACTACTACTGTTGATACTACTACTACTACTACAATTACTACTACTACTGTTGATACTACTACTACAATTACTACTACTAAGGTTGCTACTACTACTACAATTACTACTACAATTACTACTACTACTGTTGATACTACTACTATTACTAATACTACTGTTGATACTACTACTACCATTACTACTACAACTGTTGATACTACTACTACTACTACTATTACTACTACTACTGCTGATACTACTGCTACTACTACTATTACTACTACTACTGCTGATACTACTACTACTATTATTATTACGACTACTACTGTTGATACTACTACTACTACCATTACTACTACTACTGTTGATACTACTGCTACTACTACTAATACTACTACTACTGCGGATACTACTACTATTATTATTACTACTACTACCATTACTACTACTACTGTTTATATTATTACTACTACTACAACTCCCCCCTGGACGGCCACCTTAACGTGGTGGGAGTTTGAGTACTCGGGTGATCCTGAGAGCTATGCTGTCTGGGGCTTCATGCCCCTGGTAGGGTCTCCCATGGCAGACAGGTCTCAGGTGACGAGTCAGACGAAGCGCCGTCGGAAGCCAACATGGATAGCACGAAAACAGAACACGTGACGTCGCCCGGCATGGCGCAGCTGGGGCCCCACCCTGGAGCCAGGCCTGGGGTTGGGGCTCAAATGCGAGCGTCTGGTGGCCGGGCCTTAGCCCACGGGGGCCGGCCGGGCTCAGCCCGAACGGACGACGTGGGCCAACCCTCTTGTGGGCCCACCACCCGCAGAGGGATCCATGGGGCCTCGGTGCAGAGAGGACTGGGCAGGAGTCGAAGGCTTAGACCTCGGCGACCCAGTCCGCACACACAGCATCTGGCTGTTGGGACTTGGAACGTCATCTCACTGGAGGGGAAGGAGCCCGAGCTTGTGGGGGAGGTTGAGCGATACTGACTAGAGATAGTCGGCCTCACCTCCACACACAGCTTGGGCTCTGGAACCCAACTCCTTGAGAGGGGTTGGACGCTCCACGTTTCTGGTGTTTCCCGCGGGGAAAGGCGGCAGGCTGGGGTGGCCATACTCATTACCCCCCAGCTCAGCCACCACGTGTTGGAGTTCTCCCCGGTGAATGAGAGGGTCGCGTCACTCCGCCTCCGGGTGAGGGACAAGTCTCTCACTGTTGTGACGGCCTACGGGCCTAACTGCAGTGCAGAGTACCCGGCATTCCTGGAGTCCTTGGGAGGGGTACTGGACGGTGCACCGACCGGGGACTCAAATATTCTCCTGGGGGACTTCAACGCCCATGTGGGAAATGCCAGTGACACTTGGAGAGGGGTGATCGGGAAGAATGGCCCTCCTGATCTGAAACCGAGCGGTGTTCAGTTGTTGGACTTCTGTGCTAGTTTGTCCATCACGGTTTGTCCATCACGAACACCATGTTCGAGCACAAGGGTGTCCACCAGTGCACGTGGCACCAGGACACCCTAGGCCGGAGGTCGATGATCGACTTTGTTGTTGTATCCGGATCCGCTGGCAGGGGAGGAAGCCAGTCAGACCTCAGCGTGTAGTGAGGGTCTGCTGGGAATGTCTCGCTGAGCCCCTTGTCAGACGGACTTTCAACTCTCACCTCCGGGAGAGCGTCTCCCAGGTCCCGGCGGAGGGGGGGGGGGAGACATTGAGTCTGAGTGGATCATGTTTTCTTCCTCTTTTGCCAATGCGGCGGCTCGTAGCTCTGGTCGCAAGGTCTCTGGTGCTGGTCCCGGCGGCAACCCCCGAACCCGGTGGTGGACACCGGCAGTAAGGGATGCCGTCAGGCTGAAGAAGAAGTCCTATCGAGCCATGATGGTTCGTGGGACTCCTGAGGCAGCTGTCCAGTACCGGCAGGCCAAGCGTCCCGGGCTGTTGCAGAGGCAAAAACCCGGGACTGGGAGGAGTTTGGAGAGTCCATGGAGCAAGAATATCGGTCGGCCTCGAGGAGATTCTGGCAAACCGTCCGGCGCCTCAGGAGGGGGAAGCAGTGCTTTGCCAACACCGTGTACGGTGCGGGTGGAGAGCTGCTGACCGCAACTGGGGATATTGTCGGGCGGTGGAAGGAATACTTCGAGGTTTTCCTCAATCCCCCCGTCACGTCCTCCATCCTGGAGGCAGAGACTGAGGATGTTGGGGCGGATACTTCCGTCTCCCTGGCCGAGGTCACCAAGGTGGTTGGCAGCCTCCATGGTGGCAGGCCGCCGGGAGTGGATGAGATCCGTCCTGACTATCTAAAGTCTCTGGATGTTGTAGGACTGTCTTGGCTGACACGTCTCTGCAACATCGCGTGGCGATCGGGGGCGGTACCAATGGAGTGGCAGACCGGGGTGGTGGTCCCTCTCTAGAAGAAGGGGGGTCGGAGGGTGTGTTCCAATTATCGTGGGATCACACTCCTCAGCCTCCCCGGTAAGGTCTACTCCAAGGTACTGGAGAGGAGGCTACGGGCGATGGTCGAATCACGGATTCAGGAAGAGCAGTGTGGTTTTCGTCCCGGCCGTGAAACACTGGACCAGCTCTACACTGGACCAGCTCTACACTCTTCATCAGATACTCGAGGGTTCATAGAAGTTCGCCCAACCTGTCCATATGTGCTTTGTGGATTTGGAGAAGGCGTTCGACCGTGTTCCCCGGGGTGTCCTTTGGGGGGTTCTCTGTAAGTACGGGTTCCGGGGTCCTCTGCTGAGGGCCGTCCGGTCCCTGTATGACCGGAGCCAGAGCTATGTTCGCATCGCCGGCAGTAAGTCAGGCCTGTTCCCGGTGCATGTTGGCCTCCGCCAGGGCTGCCCTTTGTCACCGGTTCTGTTCACTGTATTTATGGACAGAATTTCTAGGCGCAGCCAGGGGTCGGAGGGGGTCCGGTTCGGAGACCACAGAATTTCATCTCTGCTGTTGGCGGACGATGTTTTCCTGTTGGCTCCAACATACCAGGACCTGCAACATGCACTGGGACGGTTTGCAGCAGAGTGTGAAGCGGCTGGGATGAGAATCAGCACCTCCAAATCCGAGGCCATGGTGCTCGACCGGAAAAAGGTGCCTTACCCTCTCCGGGTGGGTGGAGAGGTCCTTCCTCAAGTGGAGGAGTTCAAGTATCTCGGGGTCTTGTTCACTAGTGAGGGAAGAATGGAGCGTGAGATTGACAGGCGGATCGGTGCAACGTGCGCAGTGATGCGGTCGCTGTATCGGACCGTCGTGGTAAAGAGGGAGCTGAGCCGAAAGGCAAAGCTCTCAATTTACCGTGCAATCTTCGTTCCCTCCCTCACCTATGGTCATGAGCTTTGGGTAATGACCGAAAGAACGAGATCGCGGATACAAGCGGTCCAAATGAGCTTCCTCCGCAGAGTGGCTGGGCGCTCCCTTAGAGATAGGGTGAGGAGCTCAGTCACACGGCAGGAGCTCGGAGTAGAGCCGCTGCTCCTTCACGTCAAGAGGAACCAGTTGAGGTGGCTCGGGTATCTGTTCAGGATGCCTCCCGGACACCTCCCAGCGGGTGGAGGCCCCGGGGAAGACCCAGGACACGCTGGAGGGACTATGTCTCTCAGCTGGCCTGGGAACGCCTTGAGGTCCCCCCGGACGAGCTGGAGGAAGTGTGTGTGGATAGGAAAGTCTGGGCATCTCTGCTTAGACTGCTGCCCCCGCGACCAGGCAAAGAAAGAAGCGGAAGAAAATGGATGGATGCTACTACAATTACTACTACTACTGCTGATACTTTACAACTACTACTGCTGATACTACTACAAATACTACTACTACTGTTGATACTACTACTATTGCAGCCACTGGGCTAATTTATCTGAGATGACTGACTTCACTGAGAGAGGCAGCAATGTGCCGTGAGGCATCTAGTCTGCCGGAAATCAACCGAAGAAGATGATAATAAAACTACTACTACTACTACTACTACTACTACTATTGATGCTACTACTACTCCTACTGATGCTACTACTACTACTACTGATGCTACTACTACTCCTACTACTACTAGCACTACTACTACCACTACTACTGATGCTACTACTACTCCTACTACTACTAGCACTAATACTGCTACTACTACTACTGCTATTACTACTATAACTATTACTACTGCTGCTGATACTCCTGCTCCTACTACTACGATTAATACTATTACTACTACTGCTGCTGACACTACAACTAGTACTCCTACTTCTATTACTACTACTACTGCTGATACTAATACTAGTACTCCTAATACTGCTGCTGATTCACCCCTCCTACTAGTAGTACTGCTACTACTGCTACTACTACTATTACTACTACTACTACTATAACTATTACTGCTACTACTGCTACTATTACAACTACTAATACTACTACTACTGAAACTGTACGTAGTGGTGTGAAGCTGATTTCAACAAGCTGATATGACTCTGATGTCATTTTCCTCTCAGGCACCGTGTATATGGATCCATACGTGCTCTTCCCTCGGGACCAGGTTGTGCCAGTGGAACTAGGTACAAAGTCTAGTCATGTTTTTTATTTACATCATGTTTAGGGAAGTCCTTATCTGTACAGAGCCTCTTCACATGAAATATAAGATAATATAAGATAAGAGTTCCTTTATTCGTCCCACAGTGGGGAAATTCCGATGTTGCAGCGCACATATAGGACAGTAGTAAGAGCACACAGGGAGCACACACAATATACAAAATACGTAGTAGCTATGTTTCTTAACTAGCATAACTGGCTGTAGATGCTGAAAATGCCTCAATATCAGTCAAAATATATATAGTGCAGAGTCATGTACTATACATATAGTGCAGGATAATAAGTAGATAAGGTAAAGTGACATTGTTCTGTGACATTCTGAAGTTGCAGTATTGCACATTGCACATGATTTAAGAATTCACTTATTTACAGATGAATGAAACTTACAGGCTCAGCAGTTCTTATTGTACAGTCTGACAGCAGCAGGAAGGAACGACCTACTGAACCTCTCCTTCACACAGCGAGGGTGAATTAGTCTGTCACTGAAGCTGCTCTCCAGAGCAGAGAGAGTGTCCTGCAGGGGGTGACCGTCATGGTCCAGCATAGATGTTAGTTTGTCCAGGACCCTCCTGTCCCCACCTGCTGCACTGTGTTCAGGGAACAGCCCAGGACAGACCTGGATGACCTTGTCCAGCTTCTTCCTGTCCCTCTCTGTTATGCTGCGGCTCCAGCAGACCACACCGTACAAGAGGGCTGATGCCACCACAGAGTCATAGAAGGTCTTCAGGAGTGGCCCCTGCACTCCAAAAGACCTGAGCCTCCTCAGCCCTTCTTGAAGAGGGCGTCTGTGTTATGAGTCCAGTCCAGTTTGTGGTTCAGATGAACACCCAGGTAATTGTAAGAGTCCACTCTCTCTATGTCAGAGTGACATCTACGGAAATCCACCACCATGGTCTTCCCCGCGTTGATGAGGAGGTGGTTCCGCTGACACCAGTCCACAAAGTCCTGTATAACTCCTCTGTACTCTGCGTCATCATCCTCGGAGCTGAGTCCGATGATGGCAGAGTCGTGAGAGAACTTCTGAAGGACACAACCGTCCGTGTTGTGTCTGAAGTCCGCAGTGTAGAGGGTGAAGAGGAACGGCGCAAGGACATGAAATAGAAAATATGATGGGACTGAATAAGTGCTTTTTTGGACACTCAAAGACGCTTCAGATAGATAGATACTTTATTGATCCTCCGTAAGAGAAATTCATGTGTCCAGTAGCAGCAGAAACACATCCACCCATACAAACAAATTAAATCAATAGATGATTCAAAATTATTATCCATTCATCCATTTTCTTTAATCAATTTCTGAGTTGGGGGGGTGGCAGTCAGACTAATCCTCCTGCAGGTGGTGAGTCCACAGAAGTAGCTATCAATAGTATTTAAATGCAACAGAGATGGTGTAGCCTCTGGGTGGAGCAGGAGTGGTCACAGTAGCAGGGGTGGTGTAGCTGCTTGGTTCGGACCATTTTCTCTGCTCTGGTCCAGAGAAAAAGGCTAAATACTTTGTTAGCATTAAACTTTTTTTTTTGCAATCTTCCAGCTGATTTTTGCTTGATTTGCTTGGTTTGGCCCATTAATCTTCTCTGCTCTGGTCTGGATCCGTGTTAAAGAAGCTATACCCGATTTTTTTTCTAAGTAGTTCATAAAAATGCTTTTTACTCTGTGTCACCTGGTGTTCCCAGAGATTTCTCACCACAGTGCTGACCAGGCCCTATCCTGCTTAGCTTCAGAGGTTTAATGGCATCTGGCTTTCCTATGCAGGTGGTGCCACATGTGAAATAAGAGGTGTGCAAACTTCTTTATTTTATTGGATTGTTTTAGGAAAATTTTGGGATTTACAATATGAAAGCTCTCAGCCCAAAGGGTCAAGTAGTGACTCACAGGGCTCTTTCTCACAAGTATGCAAAATAAAACATGTTTTTAAAAGATTAAAACAGCATGTTTTCAGTTGAGACAAACAGACTGTATTTCTTGAATGAAGTGTTGTGTGTGTGGTGTCTGCAGGGGGCAGTGTGAAGCTGCGGTGTGTAGCTGACCTGGGCTACAGCACAAATGGACACACACTCATGTACTGGCTCCTGAACCACAGCGACACAGACGACCACGGCCTCAGTGACTCCTGGCACACGTGAGCCCTACGCTGCAGCAGGCTTAACTCATGTGCATTTTTGTTCTTGACTTTGTTCTTTTTCTATATTGATATTTTTAATGTAGTGGTTCTGCCTTTAACTTGCAGAGCAGTCATTTTGACTGTTCCAATCATTTACATAAAATGCAATTGTTGCCATTTTGATCACTTGCAGCAGCTAGCAATTGGTAGTCTTTCTCTTCATTCATTCATTCATTCATGAATGACTAAGTTACTGTATATTAACCAGTTTTAGCACTTATAAAAGTGAGTAAAGTTAAAACCTTAATTAATTAAGGTTTTTTATGTAAAAAAACCTTAAGTAATTAAGTAATTTCTCAAAATTGTAATGATTTGAATAGAAGCAGTCAAAATTACGGCCTCTGGGACTCTCGGTGTTAAATGAAAAGGTCAAATGCATTTGATCTATGGTATATTGTAGACTTCTACGTAGGGATGTAAATCGGTGACCGTTTAACCGGTGGTTGACCGTCACAGCGTTAACCGGTCAAAGCTGTCGGTTAAAAAAGAGAAAACGGGGGAGAGGGGAGGTCTCTTCATAACGCTATTTTAAGCCCTATTTGCACGATGTGACGAGCGGGTCCCTATCTAGCTGTGTGCGCCAATGTAACAGTAAGCTCTGGGCCGACTCTCACGCCGTACGCGCCACATATGCACGCACACATGTACACGCACACACACACACACACACACACACACACATTTCCCCCCCCTCCATTGACACGTAACATCCACACGCATCATCTCTCCCCTCTGTTACCGCCTGCTAGTTGCACACTGGTGCGGGTCAGAACTACATTGGAGCTTATATTTACACACACATACATACATGTATTGCACACACACACATAGCTTACATATACACACACACAGACATATACACACATACATACATGTATTGTACACACACACATACCGGTCTGTCGCGCTCCTCTGTGTCACGGAGCCCAAAGCATTCTTGCAAATACACGGCTCCAGTCAAACCACATGAACCATGTTTGTGCTGCTGGTCCTTGGCATCAGCTCCACACTGATCACTTTTAAACTTTAGCGGAGACCTGCGAGACGCGGCTCGTCACTCGCTGCCCTGACCATGTGGACGAGCTGTCTTTTGCTTAAAAATGCTTTAAGCCGCAGCACAGAAGAATGGGAAGATTAAAACAGCAGTTCTCTGTGCGCAAAGGTGCCGAAGCTGTTGCGGGTTTTGGCGCCGCTGTCTCGGCTCTGATCCCGTAGAACGCTCAGCTGCACTTATGAAAAGTACGCGGCTCGAAATGGCTGTTATTTCAAAGAACGTGGACTATTTTAAACTACTAGGTTAACCGGTTTCAACCGGTTAATGAGGCTCGGTGGTCGGTCATGAAAATTCATAGTTTTTTACATCCCTACTTCTACGTCATGGTGCTACGTCCCTTAGGACTTCGCTAGTGGGATATCACGTGACCCCCAGGTCACACGCCAGAGAGATCAAATATATATGTATATATGCTCCAAACACTAGCGACCCTCCTCTATAAAAGCCCCTGCACAAGGCCGCGCCCCCTCTTTCACTCTGGCGCCGATTGAGATCAGCGCCAGACTCTTCTCAGGACGAGGAGTCTGAGATCGATTGGGCCCCACTCGACCTTCCTGCCGTGCCCGCGGAATAGGGAGACCCTATTAGCTCAGGTCGTCGCCCTGGCTAACAACATGGCCTTTATCACGGGGGCCCTGGATAGGTCGCTCTCCGCTGGCCAGGCTGTGGCGGAGCAGTCGAGTCACATGGCATGAGCAGGCCCGGACTTATGACGTCGTATCTGCAGGACACGTGACCGCCCCCGGCGCACACGAGGTGAAGCAGGAGACCCCTCTGCCCTTTGGTTCACCCCCCCTCCCTGCTAGGAGCACCAGGAGAGGGCGGGGCTGTGACGTCTCGTGTTCTAGTTCCCGTTCCGCCCCTTACTTCTTAGTGCCAAAGAAGTCAGGAGGGGTGCGTCCCATTCTGGATCTGCGCATGTCAGTTTTGGATGCTGTCCACGAAACAGCTCCTGGAGTGTGTCATGCCAACGCGGCTCAGGTCGTCGCCCTGGCTAACAACATGGCCTTTATCACGGGGGCCCTGGATAGGTCGCTCTCCGCTGGCCAGGCGCTCAGCAGAGACCTCCTGACAGAGGCGAGGACCACCTCCGCGGCTCTCCTGCGCATGAGCCAGGCTTTTGCCGTGGATGGTGGCCGCACCATGGCTGCAGCCCAAGTCGGGGGCCAGGCACCTCTGGCTTGGGCTAGCAAACATAAGGGAGGCATAGAAGAGGCAACAGTTGGACCTGCCCGTGTCCCAGACGTCCCTCTTCGGCCCTGACATGCAGGCCCTGGCGGACAGACTGCAGTCTGCGGCCAAGGACTCGGCTAGGCTAGAACCGCACCTAGCTCCGAAGCGTGAGGCCCACCAAGCTGCACAGAGCCTGGACAGAGGCAGAGAGCGCTCGCCCAGGAGGCACTCCGCTCCCTACCCACGCTCCACCATCCATCGTCCCCCTTCGACGAGACTCCCGGGTCCGGACAGACCCACGGGAGGCCCGAGGGAGCAGCGCACTCACCGCCGGCCTCCCTACAGTAGAGGAGGCCGGGGTGGCAAAACTTTCTTTAATAAAGGCCGTCCGGCATTTCATCAGTACTCGTTGTCTGAGTCTCATTTGGGGGTACGTAACATGTGTAATGTGTCTGCTTGTGTTACTTCCCGAGCCCATAACGTTGCCCCGCTAGGCCTGCAGCCCCCAGAGCAGGGTGTGCAGTGTGCTACGCGGGCTACGAGCTCTGGTCCACTGATCCATGCTATGCCCTCCGAGAGAGGGGTCAAGCGGAGGGATCTGGTGTGTGTGCTTCGGTCGAACACGTGTTAGCTCCTCTAAGCTACGGGGCTAAGCACGGGGTTTCCCACTCCAGGGGCTCCCCCCCCCTTCATGAGGCAAGCGCCAAGGGGGGGCGGAGCGGTCGAGTCACATGGTATGAGCAGGCCCGGACTTATGACGTCGGGTCTGCAGGACACGTGACCGCCCCCGGCGCACACGAGGTGACGCAGGAGACCCCTCTGCCCTTTCGTTCACCCCCCCTCCCTGCAAGGAGCACCAGGAGAGGGCGGGGCTGTGACGTCTCGTGTTCTAGTTCCCGTTCCGCCCCTCACAGACTTCTACAGCATCTGGAGGGAGCAGGGCCTACTGTCGGATCCGTGGCTGGAGAAAACCATGCGCAGAGGCTACGCATTGCAATTCTCCCGAAAACCACCGCCATTCCAGGGCGTGCGGGCAGCACTCTCTCAGGTACGGGGGTCATTAGTGGCACTGCAAGTGGAGGTCTCCTCTCTGCTAAGTCGGGGCGCAGCAGTAGAGGTAGACCCGCAGGACGCCACCAGGGGGCTCTACTCCCCTTACTTCTTAGTGCCAAATAAGTCAGGAGGGGTGCGTCCCATTCTGGATCTGCGCATGTCAGTTTTGGATGCTTTCCACAGCTCCTGGAGTGTGTCAGACAGGGAGATTGGACGTCCTCCATAGACCTGACAGACGCTTACTTTCACGTGGCGATAGTTCCGGAACACAGGAAGTTCCTGTGCTTCGCGGTGGGAGAGAGGAGTTACGAGTACTGCCGTCTCCCCAAACTTTCTCGACTTTCTCAAAGTGCGTGGAGGCGGCACTGGAGCCGCTCAGACGCGCGGGGGTAAGGATATTAACCTATATAGACGATTGGTTGATACTGGCCTCGTCCAGGGAAGTGGCCGTGAGTCACACACACTGGGTCCTTTCCCACATACAGCGTCTGGGCTTTGTGGTGAACAGGGAGAAGAGCAGGCTGCAGCTGGCTCAGCGCCTGATCTATCTCGGCCTGCAGATAGACTCTGTGACGTTCCGTGCTGCATTGTCCGAGGACAGACGGAGGAACATCACCCGTCTGGCCAGGGAGGTGCTAGCGGGCCCCAGGGTCCCCGCTCGGCGCCTCAGGTCCCTTCTGGGGATGATGGCGGCGGTTCGTGCTGTGGTGTGGCTCGCCAGTGCAGAGAACGCACAGTGCCCGTCCTGGTTCGCCTTAAGGGCCGCGGACGAGCCGCCCCTAGGGGTGGACGCCCTGGCTCACTACCCGTGGCCAGGGTAGTGAGCCAGGGCGTTCCCGACGTTTCGTCCTCAAACTAGCGGACTTCTTCAGGGAATTAATTCTTGGACCGCGCGTTGGAGATTTATAACCTATGACACCCTAATCCTGATACTAACTCATAAACAATCTAAGGTCTGCTTGATGTAGAAGGGAGCAGATCTAACGACCCTAACTCATTAGCATGTCACTGACCTTATCTATTGTTATGGCGTTGTTTTTAGGATGTCGTCATAGATGCGAGGCACAACAAATCTTAACCCTCCTCCTTTGTTAAGAGAAGGTTTTTGTTTCCTCACAAAAATGGCTTCTTTCACCCCTCTCACCCTCAAACCAATTCTTCTCCCGAGCCAGAATTTTAACCTCTGTGTCATCCAGCATGTGTCATTTAATTGAATACACCACATTGCTCTGTTTGTGTTTAGACACCCAGACACAAACAGAGCAATGTGGTGTATTCAATTAAATGTAGTGAAGAGGAGTGCACTGACCACTATATTGGAGAAACCAAACAAACTCTACAGAAACGACTTTACCAACATCGTAGAGAAAACTCTAGTGGGCCACAGTCGGCTGTTCATCTCCACCTCAAGGCCTCCAACCACACGGTGGATGACACAGAGGTTAAAATTCTGGCTCGGGAGAAGAATTGGTTTGAGAGAGGAGTGAAAGAAGCCATTTTTGTGAGGAAACAAAAACCTTCTCTTAACAGAGGAGAAGGGTTAAGATTTGTTTTGCCTCGCATCTATGACGACATCCTAAAAACAAGGCCAATGTCAATAGATAAGGTCAGTGACATGCTAATGAGTTAGGAGGGGTGAGACCTGCACTCCACTTGAGCATCCCAGCAGAAAATAGGTCTGT